AACACCTACGCTCGGTTCGCAATAAACAACTGCACCTCCCAGTCGCGAACCACTTCAACTCCCCCTCCCATTCCTCAGACGACATGTCCATCCTGGGCCTCCTGCAGTGCCACAACAATGCCACCCGAAGGTTGCAGGAGCAGCAACTCATATTCCGCTTGGGAACCCTGCAGCCCAATGGTATCAATGTGGATTTCACAAGCTTCAAAATCTCCCCTCCCCCTACCGCATCCCAAAACCAGTCCAGCTCGTCCCCGCCTCCCTAACCTCTTCCTCCTCCCACCTCAAGCCGCACCCCCGTCTCCTACCTACTAACCTCATCCCGCCCCCTTGACCTGTCCGTCCGTCCTCCCTGGACTGACCGATCCCCTCCCTAACTCCCCACCTGCACTCACCTTTACTGGCTCCATCCCCACCTCTTCGACCTGTCTGTTTCCTCTCCACCTATCTTCTCCTCTATCCATCTTCTATCTGTCTCCCCCTCTCTCCCTATTTATTTCAGAACCCCCTTCCCCTCCCCCATTTCTGATGAAGGGTCGAGGTCCGAAACGTCAGCCTTTCTGCTCCTATGATGCTGCTTGGCCTGCTGTGTTCATCCAGCTCTACACCTTGTTGTCATGGAGTTTTCAGATCAGTCTGGAGGGGGTAATAGTGTTCTTGAGCTACTACAGTCTGTGTGCTGCAGGTAGACCCACTGCTGTCAGGATGGTGAGTGAGTTAGAGGTTGAATTGGCAGGTGGTCATGTTCCCATGTATTTGCTGCCCTTGTCCTTCTAGGTTGAAGTGGTCATGGGTTTGAAAGATGCTGTTTAAGGATCTTGGAATTTCTGCAGTACGTCTTGTCGATGGTGCATAATGCTGCTCCATGCTCTTTGTTTTAGTTGGTGTCAATCATTGTGTACTTATGTTTTCATATTAAAATTGTTGCATATAGATTTGGATTTTATATTGAGTGGGGGTCAGGTGGGAAAGGGAGTTCACCTGGTGTGATTGAGGATGGTGACATCCTGGGATGTGCAGTTGGAGGATGTGACGAGGGCACACTGTTGAAGACTGAGGGCCCCCTACCCACCTTTTTTACAACTTGTGTTTTAAAAAGTTACTTCTTCATCCCCACTCCAAATGTATTTTAGCATCAGTGGTGTATTAGTTTAGACAATCAGCCTGTTAAGAACCTTAATTGACTGTCACTTATTTAGATAAAAGTGTGTGGCTTGCTGATTTCAGTACCTACCCACCATATTATGGGAGAGAGTTTCAGATGAGCAAGAAAGATGGTGTATTGTGTAACTTATGTCTTATGCGCAGTTTCCCATACGCTCAGTGCAGAGGGGTCTGTACAGTTCAGGACATGGATGAAGCTTTGGTGAATTTCTGACTTTAGGGCTATCGTAGGGTTGAAATTGGAAGAATGTTTCTCCTAGTTGTGCAGCCTAGAACTAGGGATCGTGTGATTTAAACATAAGAAAATTGGCCCCTTCAACAGGCATTTTAATCTCTTTAATCTAGACGGTAGCATGCATACCCAACTATGCAGCATTACTTAGCTCCAAATTAAGTAAAAATGGAGGAAGACAGAGTATGGTCTCACAAATGTCACCCTGTGTGTCAACTTAATTAGAACCACACATGAATAAGCTGAATCAACATTCATTTGTTCTTGCGTTACTTTTTAGTATTGGTTTTGAACTAATTTTTAAATTCAGTAATGGGATGAGGGTGTCGCTGGCCAGGCAGCATTATTGTCCATTCCTAATTGCCCAGAAGGTAGTTGAGAGTCAGCCACATTGCTGTGGATCTGGAGTCACATGTAGACCAGACCAGGTAAGGATGGCAGTTTTCTTCCCTAAAGGACATTAGTGAACGAGATGGGTTTTTCCCACAATCGACAATGGATCCGTGGTCATCATTAGATTCTTAATTCCAGATATTTTATTGAATTCAAATTCCACCATCTGCTGTGGCAGGGTTCGAACCCAGGTCTCCAGAATGTTATCTGGGTCTCTGGATTAACAGTCCAGCGATAATACCACTAGGCCATTGCCTCCCCATCACCCACAATGAAAAATATTGTACTTCTTGGGTATTTAGGGCAGCACAGTGGTTAGCACTGCTGCCTCAAAGCGCCAGGGACCCAAGTTCGATTCCACCCTTGGCGAACGTGCAAACTCCACACGGACATTCTCCCCCTGTCTACGTGGGTTTCTTCTGGATCCTCTGGTTTCAGTCCAGAGATGTGCAGATTAGGTGAATTGGCCACACTAAATTGCCCATAGTGTCCAGGGATGTGCAGGCTAGGTGGAATATTCATGGTAAATGTGGGGTTATAGGGATAGGATAGGAGGGTGGATCTAGGTGGGATGCTGTTCAGGGGAATTAGTATGCACTTGATGGGCCAAATGGCCTGCGTCCACACTGTTGGGATTCTATGATTCGAAACCAACATGAACACCAATCTTTGTTTCAATAAAGTAGCCTTTATTTTGGACTGGTGGAAGTTTATCTCAACTGATAAATTAGGAGAACTTCAAGAGTTTCAAGCATATTATATATGATTCTATAATCTCCGTACTGCTTACAACAGGACTGATATTATTAGCAATGAAATTTAGGACAATACAACAATAACACAAGAAAAGCACCATCGGTTCATCGAATTAAGAAATGGAAGAAGTCATTATCACAGTAGTCCCAGACATGATCTTGTGCGTCAATGTAACTAGTAAGGAAGAAGGTGCCATAGTCTCAGATGATCATAGAGCTGCTGGGCACCCACAACGGTGCACAGTACTCCAGCTGAGATGTAATAAGTATCTTGTGGAATTTAACATACCTCCCTGTACTTGTACCCAGTTCCCCTATTGATAAAGCCAAGGGCACGTTATATTTATTAACTGCTGTATTTACCTGTCCTGCCACTTCAGTGATCTGTGCACATGTATATCCAGGTCACACTGCTCTTGCACCCCTTTAGAATTCTACCCCCTATTTTGTATTATCTTTTCAATGTTTATCTGACTGAAGTGCATCATCTCAAACCTCTCTGCATTGAACCTCATTTATCTCCTATCTGCCTATTTCACCAAATTGTCTGTGTCTTTTTGGAGTTCCACACTGTTGTCCTCGCAGTTTACAATTCTTCCAAGTTTAGTTGGAAGTGCTATGCTGTTAAGAAGCCTTAGTTTATGTCCTTCAATGTTGGAACCTTTCACTATTTACTCCAGTCATTGTTTATCAGTTTATTTTGTAATCTTCAACTTTAAACAGTCAGTTTGAAAGACAATAAATCTGATATATCATCATATTGAGCACATGCGACCTCATTTTTTGTTGAACTTGCATCTTTTTCACAAAAATAGTGGACATGAATTACCATTCCTGATAGATATACATAAAAAAGTTCTTGTATGTCCAGATGTACTGATCATATTTGCTCAGCACTGCATCAGATAATGCACTTATCAATTTCCTTCAACCATTTCTTGTTTACTATTGTGGTTTAATGCCAGGCAGTTTTAATCAAAACATACACAACAGATTAATGTGTATTGAAATAAGATAACTGCTGTTCTGATAATTTTTCTAAATGTCATCTATCTCTACATAGCCACTGACTTGAACTTTTATTATGCAAGCCTTGGTAATATTGCTGACTCTCAATTGAAAGAATGGAGGCCTGGTCTCTAGAAAACCTATCTTGCCTGTAATAAGTCAGCAGGAATGTGGCAACGAGATATAAGTATTAAATTGCTTTATTATAACATATTAAAATAAAAATATTTGTGATCACATTTAAAGGTTTGATGCTATATATGCTTCCACAGTTCATTGTTACAGTTATTAGTTTTAATTTTCTGAACATTGAACTCTTTTTGGTTTGATTTGTTTTATTCTTTGTTATTTCTTTTCTAGCTAACAGCCAGGATCCGGACGAACCAATTTTGGAATTTAGTTTAGGTGGGTAGGAAAGATGTCTCTTCATTTACTTGGTGACAGTGCACATTTTTTAAAACAATTTTCTCTCTTCCCTCTTGCTCTTTTTGGTCAGGCATTGTTAGGCAAAAACCTCCCATTAGACATTTCACACTGTCTGCTTTTGGATTTTTTAAGTGAAAGTTGAAGAAAGAAGCAAAGTAGTTAGATAGACTGAATGAGTGGGCAGGAGCATGGAACATGGAACATGGAATATGTGTACAATTGTGAGGTTATCTGCTTTGGTAGAAGGAATAAAGGTGTAGTGTATTTCCTAAATGATGAGCAATTGGGAAGTATTGATCTCTTCGGTGTCTGTTTCATAAGTCAGTGAGAGCTGGTTTTCAGAAGCAGTAAGCAATTTTAGAGGCAAAGGTCTTTACCACACTGGCATTTGTTAGCAGGAGCAAGGAAGTCTTGTTTCTATTATATAGAACACCTGAGATTGCACCTGAAGTATTCAGGCAGTCTTTTACCTTTGGAAGGATATAATTGCCATAGATGGAGTTCATTGAATCGGTCTTGTGAACATCCATAGGATAGTGGGCCTGTCCTATGAGAAGAGATAGAGGACACTGTGCTGTATCATCTCGATACAGAAGAATGAGAGGTGATCTCATGGAAAGATCAAAATTCTTGCAGGGCATGACCGTAGATGCAGAAAGAATGCACCCAGAGACAGGGAATAGCCTCCAAATAAAAGGCAAGCTATTTAGTGAGTGAGATGATGAGGAGAACATTAACCATTCATAAATTGAGTGAATCTATAGAATTCTGCACCGCAGAGGGCAGTTTAAGTTCTGTCATTAAGTTCAAGACAGAAATTGATGGATTCCTAGTTACTCAGGATATCAAGGGATAAGGGGATAGAGCAGGAATAAGATGGAGATTTGGATAATCAGCCATGATCTGGAAGGGTGGAGCAGGCTGAATGGATTGAATGGCCTACTACCACTATGTTCTTGTGATGTGTTGGCTACATGTCAAATTAGTTATAGTTTATGCTTTTAGTACTGCCAGAAGAATTGTGATCCCTTAAAGTTTTGCTTTTGTATGGTGAAAGGATGAACTGATGCACGTTAGTTGTAGAACCTACCTGTGTAACATGTTCATCGTTAAACTATTACTTTAAAAATGAATAATTGAGAAAATAGTTTTGGTGAAAATTGAAGTTGAACAACTTAGGAAGGATTACTGGTTAATTGGAAGGCTTTTGAAGTGAACAGATACAAGTCTATGCTACAGGTACATAAAGTCAGCAAGAAGGTTGATGCAGAATACGTTATAAGATCGGGAGATGGACCATATATCTTTGCAGCAAGTAGGATGCTATTTAGCCGTTTGGCAGGGTCTCTGTTTTTGTAATCTAATCTTCATTTCTCCATTAGAGCACCATATCCATGTGTCATCCTCTTTTAAATGTTCATTGATTTTTCCCTTGATTGTAAGTTATGTTTTCTTTTTGAAAAAATGGTTAGCTGTGTGTGTTGCAAAGATCATACTCTGGTTAGTATGTTGCCTATTTGAATCTAGAGCTTTGAAAATTGGATATTGAAGAATATGGGAACCTGACCAGTGATGGGAGTGATTCAGTTGAGATTAATGATATAGGAGATGATCATACATTTTGAAAGTCACCTCATAACAGGTTAAAAGTAATGTCCTCATCAGGAAGATCCTGAGACAGGCAGTCAGCAGTGACCAGAGTGAGTGAAAAGAGGATCCTGAGATAGTTTGAAAGCAGTATGTTCGGAAGAAACAGTGCGTAGTGACTGCCCAGGAATGCTGCAGGTTGAGTGACTGGTGTGTAATTGCTATTGGGGAGTGTTTAAGTTTTTAAAAAAAACAAGTCTTAAAATATTTTATTTGAAATGGTAAAGGTCTATCCTGTCAATAAGTTATATTAGTATAGTGCATGTTGGTAAAAAGAGAGGCGTTAAATTAAATCTTTAAAAAGGTAAAATTATTTAATTAGAAGACATTTAAGGTTGACAAGGCAGTCAATGTGTTGCAGTTGTCAAATGTGAATGCTTATGGACGCTGGGTGTACCAGGACAAAGATATCTGCAGTATGTATTTACAGCTTCTGAGTTGCCAAGTGGTCAGGGACAGGAGAATGTGACTGCTAATGAGGCATGTAAGAGAATGCAGGAGCCTCAGCACTTTCAGTTGTCCAATAGATTTGAGGTTGAGTGGGAGTTGCACATGAAAGAGCTAACTGACCAGGAAACCATGATGTAGAATCTCTATAGTGGTGGTAGGTGGCAGTGTAGTTGGGGATAAACTCAAGTCTCTGTCTGCTTACTTGCTGTCACCTGTAGAGTTGTGGTCAGCCTGATGCTAAGCTTGGAAATGTACTCTGGGTTGGAGAAAAACTTGAAGTGGGAGAAATCAGTTGTCATTGCCCATGTGGCTACTACCATTTTAAATGAGTCCAGGAAAAAATGTTCTACTTTGAGATAATGAGCATCAAGGTACTAAACTTAAAAAAAAAAAGCAGAACCTCAAAGAAGAAAATCTCTGGTTGTTACCTGAGTCACAAGCAAATTTGCATAGGGAAAATAAGATTAGAGAGATGGCTGAATGATTGGTGTGGGAGAAGTAGGTTTTGGTTCATAGGGCATTGGCTCAAGTATTAGGGAGAGTGAGCTGTTGGGGCAGTCTACTGAAAGCCTACTGGGACTCATGTTTTGGTGAATCATGTAACTCTGGCAGTAGGGAGGGCTTTAAATGAAATAGTGGGGGGAGCAGGCCAGTTGAGGGAAAATATAGTATAGTAAAGGAAAACAATGAAGTAATAGAGCAGGGCAGCAATTAGGTATCAATTACCAGTACTTGTCAGGAAGGGACAAAAGTTACAAGCATAAATGTACTAATAGATAAGGTAAGAGGTAGCAAAAAGAATTTAAGACCCTTCATTAAATTCATTTAGTATTTGTAATAGAGGAGATGAATTGTTAGCAACAGTTGAAATATGACCTGACTGACATTACAGAGATATGGTTGAAAGGTGCTCAATGTTGGAATGTTAGTATTGAAGGATAATTGATATTTCAAAATGATAGGAAGCTGGGAAAAGGCAGTGGGCTTTTCTGTTATTTAAAGATGAAATTAATTCAGAACGGAGTAAAGTAACCTGAAAGATTGACATTCAGTATCAGTGGAGGTCGGTTAGACAATTGCATGCACCCTGTTCCCATATTATTTCCAAAGAGGTGCTGATTACAGTTCCATTAATATAGTCAACATTTAAATGAAAAAAAAACTCCATTAACAAGTTGCAAACACCACAACTTTGACTGTTAATGAAAACAGATATATGTTTTAATTTGTGAAGGAAGAAACAGAGTTAACGTTTCAGGTCTGGTGACCCTTTCTCAGTTCTTCTGGTTTTTGTGTTTTAATTTGTTTCTCTTCTATAGCTTGTAGTGAATTGGTCACTCCCTCCTTGGACAGGAAGCCTAATAGTTTTGTAGCAGTAAGTGTAACAACCCCTCCACAAGCCTTCTGGACCAAGCATGTACAGACTGAGATTATAGAGGTGAGTTCATCAACTACGTTTTGTTCATCATCTTCTGAGTGACTGCAAATCAGAAAGAATCACATGTAACCCAGAGTACTGAAACAGCAGATTGACTATGTTCCTTGTAATTTTTCCTGTCGTCCCGTGGACGGCTGATGCCCACGCACACCAGCAGCTTCCAAAACCTGAAGTCCGTGTGCTGGCATTCCAATCAGTGTATATAGCATCTGCCAGTGACAGCACAGTTTACAGAGATCATTGCTCATTGTTGTTGATACCCCATAGAAAGATTCCGCTTTGTTTACTTCATCTCACCTTATCAACACATCTGTTTTTATATTTGCCTCCCTCATATTTACCTAGCTTTTTCTTAAATGCATCACCGCAACCAATCCATGGTAGCAGATGCCACAGTGACATCATTATTTGGGGAAAGAAGGTCTTTCAGAATTCTTTACCACATTTATTAGCAGTTCCCTTACATAAGTGGTCCTTGGTTTTGGACTTCCTCCACTAATGAAGGAATCATTTACCCATTCAAAATCCTTTGATCGCTTTGGAAGATCTCAGTCAGGTTACATTTCAAAAGCTATTTTCTCAAAATAAATCTCCCGGCTATTCGTGCTTTTCTGACAAATGTAATCTCTTGGCTCTGGTTTTATTCTTGTAAATGATCTTTCTTTAGTGCTTATTTTTCTTTAAATGTTTGTTCATTTTTTCACTTATACATGTTATGCAAATTGATATATTTGTTTCCATAAGAATTAAGAATTACTAGCTACATACTACTGGATGTGATAAATCACTAGAGGCCATAACTTTTTAAAAGATGTATGAATTCCCCAGAAACCTATGCAAAGATATGCGAAGTAAGATTTCATGTTTTAAAGTTTCTACTGTCATTCGGTATCCCTTGATTGAAGGATTATGTCTGCTCTCAGCAATGAATTTCTGCTGCAGGATGAGACAGAACAATCTAAAATCAACATCAATTAAACATTAATTAGTCAGCAACTAATAGATTAAAATACAGAAAAGGTATTCCCCACAACCTATTGCAACCAAAAATACCACAGCTTGTTTAGAGGTCAGTGTTCTCAGCAACATGTAACCTTGTGTTTAGTAGTTCCAAGTATCTCTGGTAACTCATCAAGCTCTCTTCTCCCTGCCCTGCCAGGGTGGATGGTCACCAGGCGCATTCAGTATAACTTTGCACCATACCCCATTACAGGGCATTCTGCTTTATTTTAAATTTAAAGAGCCAGTGTTTAAAAAAAAACAATTATCACATGGTCTTGCTGTCACAACAAAGGGTTATGCAACAAGCTTATCCTCAAATCAATTGTAATATGGTCTGGAAAAATAACAGTGTTTCACAAACCCATTTTATCTCAAAGACCATCTGCTTCCACTTCTGAAACTTGCCTCTGCCCCTATTTCAGCCCATCTGGCATCACCCAATATTCCTTTTGTCACCCCTACAGCTGATAATTCCACCTATTGCACTCCATAAGCTTCAGCCTGTGCGCACTTTTACCTATATCCTACTTATGTTTCAATTTTATGTTGCAGTATTCATTCCCAGAGTCCAAATGTGGAAAAAAAAACAGGAGTCGGCCATTTAGACCAGGGAGCCTACTACACCATTAAATATGATTATGGCTGATCATTCAACTCGGTGCCCTGTTCCTGCTTTGGTTTCATACCCTTTAATCTCTTTGACCCTAAGAACTGTCGTCTTCTTGAACACATTCAACGTTTTGGCCTCAACCACTTTGTGTGAAGTAATTTCTCCTCATCTTAGTCCTAAATGGCCTTTCCCCGTCTGGTAAACCTTTGCTGCATTCCATCTATGGCAAGAACATCTTTCCTCAGATAAGGAGACCAGAAATGTACACAACATTCTAGGTGTGGTCTCTCCAAGGCCCTGCGTAATTGCAGCAAGACATTGCTGCTCAAGGACTCCAATCCTTTCGCTGTGAAGGCCAACATATTCTTTGCCTTCTTAAGAACGCAGGTGCAGTAGGTTGTTACCTTCAGTGATTGGTGCCACATTGTTCCAGATTCCCCTCTCCCAATTTATACCCAATCCGATGACAATCAGTCTTCCTGATTTTGCTCCCAAAACTAACTTCACATTTATCCACATTATACTGTATCTGTCATACACTTTTCCTACTCACTTAGCTTGTCCAAATCACATGAAACATCTCTACATCCTCCTCACAGCTCACCCTACCATGCAGCTTTATGCTATCTGCAAATTTGAAGATATTACATTTTGATTCTGTCATTCAAATCATTTATTTTTATGTATGTATATTTTATATACTAACTAACTGGGGTCCTTGCACTGATCTGTGCTGTATCCCATTAGTCACTGCCAGCCGTTTGGATAAAGACAGTTTATTAGAATCATAGAATCCCTACAGTGTGAAACAGGCCATTCAGCCCATCGAGTGTGCACCAACGCTCCGAAGAGCATCCCGCTCAGACTCTCGCCCTGACCCAGTAACCCTGCATTTATCATGGCCAATCCACCTAACCTGCACATTTTTGGTCTGTGGGAGGAAGCCAGAGCACGCAGAAGAAACCCACACAGTCACAGGGAGAACGTGCAAACTCCACACACAGTTACCTGAGGCTGGAATTCAACCGAAGCCCATAGTGCTGTGAGGCAGCAGTGCTAATCACTGAGCCACTGTGCTGCTCATTCTTACACTTCCTATGCTTTTCTCCTGTCTGCCAGCGAGTTTTCTATCTATCTCGGTACCCTACCCCTATTCTATATCCTTTAATTTTACATGCTAATCTCTTACGTGGAACTTTGTCAAAGCCTTCTGAAAGTCCAAATAAACCATATCCACTGGCTCCCTCTCATCAACAGTATGACTCACATCCTCAAAGGATTCTAGTAGATTTGTCATGTATGATTTCCCTTTGTAAATCCATGCTGACTGTCTGATCCTGTCACTGTTGTCCAAGAGCTCAGCTATTTATGCTTTTATAATAGACTCCAGGATTTCCCCACTACCGATGTCAGACAAACTGGTCTGTGATTCCAAGTTTTCTCTCTGCCTCCTTTTTTAAATAGAGGGGTTACATTAGTTAGACCACAATCTGTAGGAATTGTTCCAAAATCTATAGAATCTTGGAAAATGACTATTAATGCATCTGCTATTTGTAGAGCCCCTTCTTCCTTTGCACTGCCTCTTTGTTTAAGGCAGTCCCTGGAATCCGCCACCTGGATCATGATTTTGGTTACTCCTATCTCTTCCTTTTGACTGACATCCATTTTTGTGACATTATGTCTCTGAAACGCCTGTGGATGTTTTTCTTTGTCAAAATCAGTATTTAAATGTGGAGTCTTTGGCTGTAAGTAAACTGTTACGAAAGTTACAGCTTTAATTGGAGAAAAATAAACGCAACGTAATTTAATAAATTAAGTTTATTGTGAAAAAGGGTATTTATTTAAAAAAATAAATGTTTATTTAAAGCCGCCAGGTTAGGCTGGTGGAAATGTGCGACCCTGCACTAAGAGAGGTCAAAAATCAATTATAAAGGCACTTCACTTAGTTGAATGGAATTCTTGTGCTTTATGACGACATGTTTAAGATGAGAAGAATGTACTAATTGATTTCCCTTATCCTTGCAGGGTACCAACAATCCCATATTTCTAAGTAGTGTTGCATTTTTCCAGGATTCTCTCATCAATCAAATGACGCAAATTAAACTTTCAGTGTATGATGTCAAGGACAGATCTCAGGGAACTGTAAGTGGCATAATATTTGCCTCTGCATGTAGACCTACTTTTAATATAAATGTTTCCAAAGTCACATCAAGTGAAATGGAAGATATTTTTGCAGTTCTGCTCTGGTATATTGTATGCACGCAATGTTATCATGACTAATAAATTATATTGCAATTTCTGCTGGATCAGATGAAGTATTCCCTAGGACGCTAGCAATGGTGAGCAGTAACGGTACATTATGAAAAGCATAATTGCAACATCAATTAATGTTTTTTGATTGTTCACAGCCACTCTAGCTATTGTATTTGTTCCTGGAATGTGAATGTAGCTGGCAAAGTCAATATTTATTGTCCAATTCTAATTGCCCCTGAGAAAGTGTGAAATTATGAGTGAACGACAATGCTGACCTTGCCTCATCCAATGATGGGATTAAAAATGAACTGTGCCCTCTCCATTTGGAGAACCAGGTCTAGTATAGAAGCAGATGTGCCAAGAAGGTTGAAAGTTCAATTCCTTATTTATGCTCAAATTAATAGGCTTCAGTGAAATTAGTAGAACCAGCAAAACAATTGGGCTCTGCTTTACTATGCTTGGGAGATGCAAGGTTGCTCAATATCCACTCATGAATGTATCAGTTTAATTTAAAAAAATATAAAATATATTGGTAGGATAGTTGCAAGGATATTTTCCACTAATGGACAATCTAGAACTAAGAGCTCAGTCTCAGGGTAAAAATGCAACCATCTAGAACTGAGATGAGGAGAACTTTATTCACTTAAAAGGCTGTAGGTCTTTGGAATTCTTTCCCACAGAGGGCAATGGATGTTTGTTCATAAAGCAGGTAGTGAGATTAAAAGAGATCCAAGGTATGACAGGGTTAAGTAAGACAGAAAAATTGTTTCCATTAGTTAACGATGCAAGGGATAGGAAGATACAGATTTACTGTTAAATGTCTTATGAGATCATAAGACCATAAGAAATGGAAGCAGGAGTAGGCCGATTGGCCCCTTAACCCTCTTCCGCCATTCACTGACATCGTGCATTTTCCTGTTTTCCTGTAACCGTTGATTTCCTTGTTGATCAAGAATCTACCTATCTCTGCTTTAAAGATAACCAAGGACTCTGCCCCCTCAGCTCTCTGTGGCAAAGAATTCCAAATACACTCAACCCTCTGAAATTCCTTATCTCATTCCTAAATTAGCACCCCTACATTCTGAAACTATGTCCCAGTTCTAGATTCCTAGAGGGGAAACATCCTCTCAGAATTTACCCTGTCAAGTCTCTTACGGATCCTGCATGTTTCTATGAGATCACGTCTCTTGCTTCCCTTTTTATCTCCCTGATTGGATCTAACAATGATTTTTGGTTTTAATGTGAGGCTATACCCCTTTCTCAATAAAATATAGTTAACTGATGTCTACTGTAGCAGTAAGGAGCCAGATACAAAATTTTCTTGAGTAAAAACAATTATTGTCTGCTAACACCAAGGAAAAATAATAGACCTGTATGCTTGATGTCATGTCTAAAGTTTTTAAAAAAAAGGGATAGTGTCCAGTGCAACAGGAAGATGAAAGAAATGTAGCATAATGCCCTTGAGTAAGGGTTTTACCTGAGATATCAGTTGTTTATTAGGTGATTTGAAGCATTAGCAGTAGTGATTAATTTCAGTTATCCTTTGAATTTTTAATTTTCTGATATTTGATTTTTGAGTATTATCATAGGTGTTTTTACTTCTTGAGGGGCAGAGAGCACTTTTTCCAGCTGGTTCAAATTTGCAACTAAACTCCGTCTCCTGCTGTGCTAAAAACTGGTTGAACTAGAAGCTGGTTCTTGCATTTTTGACTTTGAAACTTTGGAGACAGTGAAATCAATCTCCAATATGTGAAAATTCTGAGTAAATCAAAACAGATGATGAAGGCTTTTCATATCTGATTACATTGACTAGTTTCAGTGCCTTTTGATAAAAATGTTAATTTCAGTTTCAACTGAATTCTTTACTTTTTGAAATTATTCATTCATGGGATGTGAGTGTAGCTAGTTGGGCCAGCATTTATTGCCTGTCCCAAGTTGCCCTTGAGAAAGTCGTGATGAGCTACCTTCTTGAACTGCTGCAGTCCATGTGCTGTAGGTACACCCACAATGCTGTTAGGGAGGGAGTTCCAGGATTTTGACCTAGCAACACTGAAGGAATGGTCACATTTCCAAACCTAGATGTTGAGTGGCTTAGAAGAGGACCTGCAGGTGGTGATGTTCTCTCACATCTGCTGCCCGTGTCCTTCTGGATGGTAGTGATCATGGGTTTGAAAGGTGCAGTCTAAAGTACCATGTGTTAATATCAGACGATGGAATCTGAAAATCTGTAGTTCATATTGTTGCCATTGTGGCAAGTCAGGGATGTGGGAAGATCGAGGAAAAATGTTCTATATAGTGAATGGTAATGAACTAGAACTCAATACGTACAAGATTGGTGATAATGGAGACTGTGAATTATTTCAATAGGAAGTTGCACAGGCACTTGAGAAAAATAAACTTGCAGGTGTGTGGAAATAGAGATAATGATTGAAACAAATTAGATTGCTTTACACTGAGTCAGCATGTACATCAGAGGCCAAATGACTTCTGTGCAGTAATGTCTCCATGGCTCTGAATAGATTTGGAGCCTCTGGGAGGAACTGACCACACCTGTATTGTCACCAAATCCTTCGGTGAAAAATTGACTGACTGATCTACAAAGGTAATGTACTTAATACAGTGAGCCATAATTTCAACAATGGTTAAATCTTACTGGAGTGATCTCTCCAACTTAAAGGACATGATCCATGCAATATTCTCAAGGTGCATGAGGTGTAGTAGACTGAACTACACTTATTGTTGCTGAATGACAGAGTGCAGTTCTTTTTGCTACTGGGTATCAAATATACACAACTAGCTTGTTGGCAGCTCTATATGTCTGTTAGGCTTGTGTTGATGTTGATGAAGGGAGTCCTGGAAAGGAGAGTGATTCTTGGATCGGAAGTTGAGTGAAATGTTATAGGACATTGCTCATCTATCTGATTTTAAAAACAGTTAGTCGATTAGACATTTTTTATTGAGGAACGTATCCACGAATTCACCCTTTTCTCCAGTAAGGAGCACTGCAAACAGAATAACAAATGAGTAACTCATGCTAAACTTTCAAAAATATTTAAAATTCTTTGGAAATTTTCCCACTGGCTCTATAAGATTAAGCCAAATAACTCTCAACAAAGAATTATTTAGAATCACATGAGCTTCTTGGAATTCAATGCATCAAGAACTTCGGGTCTTGTAAATGTACTTTTTTGGGACCTTTCCTTTTTCTTAATTCGCCTTGTATACACCATGTCTAGTTGAGAGGATCTGTGATCTTTGTACTACCTCTGAGAGAAAAAAGCAACTGCAAGTAATTGGAAGAGCAGTGAAGATTTGCCCACTGGCTTTTGTTTTCGCAGGAGAACTTACTGACCTATGATATGGATGAAATCCGACTGTATAAATGAACCCAAGATGTCTAATTTGCACCACAAGGTGCTTAGGCATGTTGAGATATGCCTGCTATTAGATATTTAAATGTGAAACTAATAGTGTTTGATGTTCTTTGTACAACAATCAAACAGAACCCTTGGATAAAGGTAGATGCGCAGGTCAGTACAGAAATCCAAATGTTATTTTAAGATGAACTGTTCCAGAGCTACCATCTTTAAAATTTGCATTTGCCTGCTCAGCCACAAAATGCAACGAATGGACATATGCTGTACAAGCTAACCTCACCATAAATGATTTGGGCTGGTCTGAAGTTAGGCAAGGAGTATGAGCTATTAAAGTCAATTTACATTTAATTAAGCCTAGCTGTCAGGTTCATTTAACATGTCATGATTAATTATACCAATGAACCTCTGACATTGAGAATTAGGTACTGGAAATTTTAAACAAAAAAATTTCTTGGTGTGCCTTTTTTTCTATCTTTCTCTCTTTGTTTCAGTACCTAATATAGCCTATATTTATTTATAATTCCGTCCATGTTAATTTTGCAGTTTATTGACTGGATTGCTTAAAAAGATGCGCAGATGTTTCACCTTGTCCATTGAAGTCCCCATGCTTGTTTTCCCTCTGCTCGCAGTTTCACCAACTTGGATTGCAAAATGCAGTCTGTTAAATGGGCAAGAGCAATTCTAACGATTGCCGTTGTTCATAAGTTATGATAAATTATACTCACTTATTTTGACCAAAGAAGTGAATTGATTTTTCACTGAATTCTTTTCCACATTGTGCAGTATGATCCCTGGAAGTATATGACCTACCTAGCTCCACCCTCTGTACACAGGTTTTCAATCATAGTTGAAGTTTTACATTTATAATGAGATCATCTTTTGGTGAGTTACAGTCTATTGCCTCTTGAAGACTAGCATGTAACCAGAACTGAGAAGTCATTTCTCTAGTAAATGAACTTCCATCAAATGTGCTAGTTCTAATTTTGAAAGTATCACTTTTCTATTCAGTTTATTGAATTATTGATGTAATCAAACTCCACTCCCCAATTAATCTCCATTCCATCCATCCTTAAACTTGGCTTATATATCTTCGCTCCCTATTTTGAAAACTCTATTCGCATAATAAATTTGTTGCCAATGATCTACATCTATGATCTGCAGTAGTTTTGATCTTTAGTTGGGTGACCACTCTGGCAGGATTTTTATTTCAAAACTGAGGTACGGTTTTGTAACTGGTATTGGATTTATGTACATATGATTTCTATCCCTCTTTTTAACTGTAGACTTTGTAATGGTTTAGAATTTTACCTTATGTGTGCTTTAATCCAGTATTATTATCTACGCATGCAATACTAATCTGGAGTATCTAGGGCTGTGGGTATCTGCACCCTGAGGCTGTTTGCGCCATATTTTGAAGTAAGTCTCTTCTACCCGTATATTGTAATGCTGCTTTCGTATCTATACAGAAGAGCTGAATGCTAGAAGGGAAGTGAATTGATTTGATTTATTATTTTCACATTTGCCGAGATACAGTGTAACGTATTGTTTTGTGTACTAACCAGGCAAATCATATCTTACATAAGTACGTTGGGATAATAGAACAGAATTCAGAATATAGTGTTACAGCTGCAGAGAAGATGTAGATAAAGATCAACTCTGTCATATGAGAGGTCTGTTCATAAGTTTGATAACAGCAGGGATGAAGCTGTTCTTAAATCTGTGGTATGTGTTTTCAAACTTTTGAAACTTCTGCCCGATGGAAGAGTATAACTGGGGCACGAGGGGTCTTTGATTATGTATGACTGCCCTTGACGGAACAACAGCATTTAACCTGATGGGATTTATCCAAGGATTCCATGGGAAGTGAGGGAAGAGATCACAGGGCCTTTGGCGATGATCTTTTTGTCCTCACGTCCACGGATATAGTGCCGGAAGATTGGAGAGAGGCAAACGTCATTCTCTTGTTCAAAAAAGGGAATAGGGATAACCCTGGAAATTACAGGCTAGTTTGTCTTGTGTCAGTGGTGGGCAAATTATTGGAAAGGGCTCTGAGAGACAGGATTTATGATCACTTGGAAAGGCACATTTTGATTCATGATAATCAGCATGGATTTGTGAGGGGTAGATCATGCCTTACAAACCTTATTGAATTCTTTGAAGAGGTGACCAAACACATGGATGAAGTTAGAGCAGTGGATGTGGTATACATGGATTTAAGTAAGGCGTTTGATAAGGTTCCCCATGGTAGGCTCATGCAGAAGGTAAGGAGGCATGGGATAGGGGGAAATGTGGCAGATTGGATTCAGAATTGGTTGCCCCTTAGAAGACAAAGGGTGGTAGTGGACGGAAAATATTCAACATGGTGCTCAGTTACGAGTGGTGTACCATAAGGATCTGTTCTGGGTCCTCTTCTATTTGTGATTTTTGTAAATGATTTGGATGAAGGAGTAGAAGGGTGGATTAGTAAGTTCACGGACGATACGAAGTTGGGTTGAGTTGTGGATAGTGCGGAGGGCTGTTCTAGTTACAAAGGGACATTGATAGGATGCAGAGCTGGGCTAAGAAGTGGCAGATCGAGTTTAACCCTGAAAAATGTGAGGTGATTCATTTTGGAAGGACAAACTTGAAAGCAGAATACAGAGTTAAGGGAAAGATTCTTGGCAGTGTGGAGGAGCAGAGGAACTTTGGGGTTCATGTCCACAGTTCCCTGAAAGCTGCCACCCAGGTGGATAGAGTTGTTAACAAGGAGTATGGTATGTTAGCTTTCATTAATAGAGGGATTGAGTTCAAGAGCCATGAAGTTATGCTCCAGCGATACAAAAGACTGGTTCGGCCACATCTGGAGTATTGTGTCCAGTTCTGGTCGCCTCATTACAAGAAAGATGTGGAAGCGTTGGAAAAGGTGCAGAGGAGATTTACCAGGATGTTGCCTGGGAATGGAGGGAAGGTCTTATGAGGAAGGGTTGAGAGAGCTAGGGTTTTTCTCTTTAGAACGACGAAGGATGAGAGGTGACTTGATAGAGGTGTACAAAATGATCAGAGGTATAGATAGAGTTGACAGCCAGAGACTTTTTCCTAGGGTGGAAGTAGCTATTATGAGGGGGTATAGTTTTAAAGTGAGTGGAGGTAAATATACGGGAGATGTCAGAGGTAGGTTCTTCACTGAGAGTGGTCGGGGCGTGGAATGCATTGCCGGAGAGGGTAGTGGAGTTGGCCTCATTAAGGGCATTTAAGCAGCTATTAGATAGGCATATGGACGATAGTATAAGGTAGGGGTGGAGGTTGGATAGACCTTAGGATTAGGGTAAAAGTTCGGCACAACAGCGTGGGCTGAAGGGCCTGTACTGTACTGTTCTATGTTCTAACCGTGTGCTATCAAGCACCCGTAGCAGAACTGACCAACAACCCCATTCCCTCTCTCACCTTGCCACTCTCCTTCCAAACCAAAATGTGCATAGAAGGCATCAACAAGCCAATAAGTATTCCAGTTGTGTCACCTACCTGCTGTGAGGTCAATTCTTCATTAGCATTGGAATTGCCAGCTACAATCTCAGGTGGACCATCCCAGAGTAGTAAACCCTATATTACAAAGAAGATCTCTGGGGCAAGAGTCAGATTCACGGCAGCACAGGATTGTTCTGTAGACAATGCAACTCCTGCTTCACAAAACCTGAGAGTCTTTCCATGTGCTTTCCTCTGTACCAGGCAGTCTGCTTATATACTGGCCACAGCAAGCATAGTTCATTATCCAAACTGGTCAAGTAAAATATTGCAATTAATATCCAGGTTATTACTGTAGGGCCAAGAATGCCATTATAATAGCATTTTTGTTCTAGACTTTTCAGGGGTGTGCGCCCATGTGTGTGCTTGCAAGGGAGAGAATTATGAGCGCCTGGGGTGAGCTCACTGTTGAAACCCAGTCTTTAATTCCAATGATAGGAAGTCAAGGGCAGTGGAGTTTTAGGAATTGGTGCGTCATAGAAGGAGGCTTGTTAATCCACCAAAGCTTGTTCATGTTTCTGTGTTTCTTTCGGTGAAAATCAATGGTCTGTGACTCGACGTAGTTTTCTTACTGTTCTGCTTTCTGAAGCTAATATTTGTTCCAGCAGAATCTTATCTTTCTTGTGCACCCGTCCCCTGCCTTCCAACAAAAGGCATTGACAACTCCAAAGTTGCAGAGCCAAATCCGTAGGTTCAGTGGTAATATGTGGTTTGAGGATTATAGTCATTTTAGGTTAAAAAGATAAAATCTGAAACTTTTGCTTCTCTATTGATCTGGTTTTTATTTTTTATTTTCCAGATGTATCTGTTGGGTTCTGCTATGTACACAGTAAAGGATTTGTTGAAAGAAAAGAATCACCGATTGCACCTAACACTTCGGTCAGTAACATAAAAACAAAATACTGTGCAGATACTGGAAATCTGAAGTGAAAACAGAAAATGCTGGAATTCCTCAGCAAATCTGGTAACATCTGGAGTGATCAACAAAGTTGATATTTCAGAATGAAAGCTTTGTGTAAGAACTGGAAAAGATCAGATGTGATAGTTCTTTCCCCACCTCCTTGCCTCTAAAATCTAACTGGGGGAAGGTCTACGGTGGGGTGGAAGGCAAGAGAGCATATAGATGACAAAAATATGATAGTCAAAGGCAAATGGAGATGTTTGTGGGACAAGTAAAGTCCTCTACGTCCTTTTATATTTCTTGTCCCATTACCACCATCTCCTGTGTTGCACTATCATTTCTTTTTTTATTTAATCACTACTTGTCACAGTTTTTTTGTTCTCTTGCCTTTGTATTTGCTTTAAAACTTTTTTTTTAACGTTTACCAGTTCAGATGGAAGGTGTCAACTTGAAATATTAACTTTGATTCTCTTGCCACAAATTTGGAGATGGTGTAGTAGTAATGTCATTAGACTAAAAAAATCCGGAGGCCCATGCTAATGATCTGACCGCACTGGTTCAGATTCCATCATGGCACTTTTGGAGTTTAAATTAGGTTAATTAATAAATCTGGACTTGAAAGCTAGCTTCACTGACATCATTCTCATTCATCACCTATTGCAAAATCCTAAGTGGCTCATTCATATCCTTTACTGAGGGAAGTCTGCTGACCTGAATTGGCATGGCCTGCATATAATTCCTGATCCACAGCCATGTGATTGGCTCTTAACTGCCCTCTGAAATGGCCCAGCAATCCACTGAATTCAAGGGCAGTTTGTAATGGACAGCAAAAGCCAATTTCACCCACATCATGTGAAAGAATGAAGGAACATTTCCAGGATAAAAGCCAGGTGAGAGTCTATTTGGATAAATCCTTAAATTGGGCAATGAATGTAATGGCAGCCTATGTTATATAATTCCATAAATTTGTTCAGCTGTTTCATTAAAATCCACATTGGAGGTGCATGATTGACTGTTGCAATAATTAAAAATGCTGTAAAAGCTTAGTAAGTCTGACAGTATCTTTGTTTTCTTTATTCTTTCATGGGATGCGGATTTCTGACAAGGCCAGCATTTGTTGTCTATCCTAAGTTGCCCATGACTTTCTAGGGCCATTTCAAAGCATGGTTGAGAGTCAACCACATTTCTGTGTATCTGGAATCATATGTAGGCCAGATCAGGTCCAACGGAGCAGAAATCTGAGTGATGGGTCTTTTTCTTACCATGATTGGTGATGGTTTCACAGTCGCAATTAACTGAGGCTAGCTGTCAATTACAGATTCTCACGAGCTACCATATGAGATTCAAACCCATGTTCGCAAACCATTAGTCTCTTGATTGCTATTTGAGTGACATTACCAATGGATCACTGTCTACCCTTGTGTTTTCTACTTCACATATTTTGAATGTTACTGTTGAATCTGTCTTCAGCACTAGTTCAAGCAGTTCATTCCAATCATAACTGTATGGTGTAAGTTTCTGTTTTCTCTTCTCTCTGATTCTTTTGCTAATTGCTATAAATGTATGTTTTCTAATTCTCTGCTGTACTGTACTGCTAGCAAAAACATTTCTAGCTGTCGAAAATGTATAAGCAAGACAGATCTTAATAAAAGTTAGATGAGTCAAATCAGCCTAAGTAAGAGTTTTTGTTTTCCTATTTTTCTTCCCCCACCCCATCACTCTGATGCCATCAATATATTTTGCTGCAGGTCTGCTGAAAATGAGCGTGTGGGTAATATTACCGTGATAGCTTGGCAGATGGAAGGCAAAGTTGAGGACAAGATTCCTGCAAGCCGGTCACCTGACACCACCAATGGAAGGGTAACTATTTGAAATGAAATTGATACCACTGATTTTGGTCCATTCAGGTTATTTCCTTGCCAGAGTAGAACAAGTCATAAGGAAATATGATGCATTGAAACTTAAGCATTGAAATCTATCTTAAAGTGGCATTAATTTTGGCACAAACTCCAGCTTTGTCTCATGATTCTGTCTGCTGACAGGTAATCTGCATGTATATGTAGGCAGAAAAAAGTAATTCGTGTCAGCTTGCCTGGAACATGCATTGTGTTATGTGACGAGAAACAGCATTGCTTCTAGACAAACAAATCTAACACACACTAACCATTTTCATATATTGTGAAATAAAGCTACATAGTCATGTGTGTTAAACCTCAAATTACTGAAGTATTTGTTGAGGAATGCCATCAGAAAGATTGAGGAAGCAGATGTATAAAAACCACCAATATCCAGGCTAAGTTTGCAGTGACTGCAGTTCTGCTCATGGGTAACACTTCTGTTCAAGTAGCTATGGGCGCAGTCAAAATCACCTCTCGTAGCAATAAGATATCCTGACCACCTACAGGAGATGCTGATGCCACAGAACCTGAAATTATATATAAGGCAAAAATCAAGGTGTAACAGTTATTTTGGGCCACAGGGAGGAAAGTAAAAAAAGGGCCTTTCAATCCTCTTTGTTGTTCCTGCTGCAAAGTGTCCGTGCCTATTCAGTGCATGAGGATATGGTCAGATATAACTTGCACTTAAATTACCTGCTGATGCTTACCATCTAGGCTAAGACAGCTGCAATCACTACTTGTACTGTACTTTTTCCAATGGTCACTTGTTACAGTGAGGAACACTAGGGAGGAAAGATCTATACGTTAATACCTTGTTTTGTTTCCCTGTGTAACCTTGCAGATGGTTTTGCCAGTTGATGAAAGTTTAACGGAATCGTTGAGTATTCGTTCAAAACACTCTACATTGAAGAAAGATCCACTATTACGATCAGGTAAGTAGTGATCAAGTGCTTGAGTTTTGTGGACTTCAAGTTTTTCTAGCTGCCATTTAAAATTTGCGTTGACATACTTTGAACTTGTCTATTATATGGTTTTCTTGAACTGTCAATCCAGTTTTTACCCATGATTGGTTTTTTTTTGGAATCCCACCTGAACGACGTTTTGATTGAGAATTGCACGATACTCAATTTTCAGCCCTCTGTCTACTAGATGAGCTGCTTCATGGTGGTAACTCATTCTACCCTGGAAAATTAGTGACTCTTTTGCCTGCACGAATGTGGGGAGGACAAGTGAGGCTGCAAAGAGATGGAAACAAGTTGATTCAACAGGCAACAAGGTAGCAGATAGAATATCCGAGATAACAAGAACTGCAGATGCTGGAGTCAGAGATAACACAGCAGGCCAGGCAGCAGCAGAGGAGCAGGAAAGTTGACATTTCGGGTCAGGACCCTTCTTCAGAAATGGGGAGGGGGAGGGGAGCTCAGAAATAAATAAAGAGAGGGGTGGGGCTGGGGCTAGGGAAGGTAGGTGGGATGGTGATAGGTGAGTGCAGATGGGGATTGGTCAGTGAGGTGGGAGGGGCAGATTTCCACTGCTACACTGGCACTATCCTCCACCTCTTCCTCCGCTACATTGATAACTTTGTCGGCGCTGCCTTGTGCTCTCACAAAGAGCTTGAACGGTTCATCAACTTTACTAACATCTTTCACCCCAACCTCAAATTCACCTGGACCATCTCCGATACTTCCCTCTCCATGCTGGACCTCTCCGTCTCCATATCTGGTGACCACCTCAACTGATATCTATTTCAAGCCCACCAACTCCCACAGCTACCTAAACTACACCTCCTGTCACCCACCTTCCTGCAAGAATGCGATCCCCTACTCCCAATTCTTCTGTCTTCACCGCGTCTGCTCCCAAGATAGGGTGTTCCAGTCCAGCACATCCCAGATGTCCTCCTATTTCAAGGACTGTAATTTCCCCTCCTCCGGTGATCGAAAATGCCCTCAACTGCATCTGTTGCGTTTCCCACACCTCTGCCCTCGCATCCCCTCCTCCCAATAAAAATAAAGACAGAATCCCCTTTGTCCTCACATATCACCCCGCCAACCTCCGCATCCAACGTATCATTCTCCGCCACTTCTGCCACCTACAATCTGACCCCACAACCAAAGAGATATTTCCCTCCCCATCCCTATCTGCCTTTCGTAGGGACAGCTTTCTCCGTAACACTCTCTCCTCTCCACGCTACACACTACACACTCCCCACTAATCCCACCACCCCCAGCACCTTTCCCTGCAACCACAGGAAGTGCTGCACCTGCCCCTACACCTCCCCCCCTCGCCTCCATTCAAGGCATAAAACAAACCTTCCACATTAGACAGGGGTTCATCTGCACATCCGTCAACTTGGTCTACTTCATCTGCTGCTCCCAATGTGGCCTCCTTTACACTGGTGACACCAAGCGGAGACTCGGAGACCGTTTTGTAGAGCATCTGCGCTCTGTAAACGACAAATAACAACACTTTCCGGTCACGAACCATTTTAACTCCCCCTCCCACTCCCTGGATGATATGTCCAGCCTGGGCCTCCTCCAGTGTCACGATGACGCCACCTGCAAACTGGAGGAGCAGCACCTCATATTCTGCCTCAGGAGCCTACAGCCAATGGCCTAAACATAGATTTCACCACTTTTAAAACCTCCCCACCCCCGGCCTCATCCCATGTGCAACCCTCCCTCTCATCCCCAGCTCTTGACCTGTCCATCTCTCCCACCTATCTGCCCCTCCCACCTCACTGACCAATCCCCACCACTCCTTACCTGCACTCACCTATCACCATCCCACCTAACTTCCCCAGCCCCACCCCTCCTCTCTCTATTTATTTCTGAACTCCCTTCCTCCTCCCCATTTCTGAAGAAGGGTCCCGACCCGAAACGTCAACCTTCCTGCTCCTCTGCTGCTGCCTGGCCTGCTGTGTTCCTCCAGCTCCACGCTGTGTTATAGCGGATATAATATTTTGTGAGGAAGTATTCACTTTGTTTTCTAATCTTACAAAGTTATGTTTTGAAAGTACTGAAACTTGTAAATGTTGATCAAAAATAAACCAAAGAACTGCAGATACTGGAAATCCGAAACAAACACAGTTAGCCCTCCCGCCTATCTTCAGCATACAAAGCAACCTTCTCCCAGCTGCAATCTATTCTGAAGAATGGTCACTGGACCTTAAACATTAACTCTTCTTTCTCTCCACAGATGCAGTCACACCAGCTGGGTTTCTTCAACAATTTCTGATTTTGTGTTGTAAATGCTGATGCTCATGAGAGTTTGGTGTACTTGAGAAGGATCACAAGGCTAGCAGTTCAGAGCAAATGTCATGATCCCCAAGGAAGTTCAAATACTATAAGAAGTCTTTTATTCTGATTGTTTAGACCTTTGGTGAGCCCCACATCTGGAACATTGTATGCAATTTTGTCTTTTAAGAAATGTATACTTGCATTGGAGGTGGTTCTGCACAGGTACACTGGATTGGCACCTAAGATGAGAGGGTTGTCCTACGATGAGAAGTAAATTGGGGTCTATAGTCTTTGGAGTTTAGAAAAGATGGGTAATCTGATTGAAGCATATGAGATTCTGAAAGGGCTCGACAAGGTGGACACACAGATTATGTCACCTGCTGGGGAGTGTAGAACATGGGTACAACTTAAGATTAAGCAGAAGATCATTTTGGACTGAGATCAATGGAAATTTCTTGAAAGAATTCTTATTCTTTGGAGTCCTCTACCCTGGAGGATTGTTGATTGTGGAACATACTTAAGGTTGAATCAAACAGATTTTTGTCTCTGGATATCAAAGTACCTGGACAGTGGCAAGAAAGTGGAGTTGAAGCTGAATATCAGCCATGTTGAATTGTATAGCAGACTCGACAATTTATATGATCTTCTACTCCTATTTCTTACATGGCTTATTCCCCATTTGTACAGTTAAGGAGAAGTCTAACTTTGCGGGTGTTGCAGCTTTTTTATTTGAGGCAAGACTGGACTGTTGGGCCATGCTGTTTTATAAATGGATGCTTGACTATAGCGGTGTGTTGAACAACCGAATGTCAAAGTCTAACCTGTTTTTTTGCAGTGTTTGGAGGGGTTATCTGTCGGATGTATCGTTTCCCTACAACGGATGGGAACCACTTACGAATACTGGAACAGATGGCAGAGAGCATGTTATCACTGCATATCCCAAGACAATTTGTAAAACTAGTTATTGAAGAAGATGCAGCAAGGTAACATCAATTTACTTTCTAATTATCCCATGAGCAATGGCCTCATTGTTGCTGCCTAACATGGATCAAAACAAACAGACTGATCTGAACTCATTACAGATTCAAACCTCTTCAGCCTTTTCAGTTATTGTAACCCACTGTTTTGGCCCTATTTCTGTTCTTCAAAATACAGTGCTTTCAGCGACTAAATAATCCTAATTAAACTTATGCCCTCTAGTTTTGGACACCCCTACCCTGGGGAAAATACCTTGGCTATTCAAATTATCTAAGCCCCTCATGATTTTATAAACCTCTATAAGATAACCCAGCCTAACCAGCCTCGTTGTCATACAGCACGGAAACAGACCCTTTGGTTTAACACATCCATGCCACCAAGTCTCCCAAGGTAAACTAGTCCCATTTTCCTGCATTTAGCCCTGTCCTTCTAAACCTTTCCGATTCATGTACCTGTCCAAATGTCTTTTAAATGTTGTAACTGTACCTGCATCTACCACTTCCTCTGGTACTTCAGCCCATACACGAACCAACCTCTATGTAAAAGTTTGCCCCTCAGGTCCCTTTTAAATCTTTGTCCTTACCTTTAAACTATGCCCTCTAGTTTTGAACTCGCCAAGCCTAGGGAAAGGTTCTTTGCTATTCACCTTATCTATGCCCCTCATGATCTTATAAACCTCTATAAGGTCACCCCTCAACTTCCCACACTCCAATGAAAAAGGTCCCAGCTTATCCAGGCTCGCCTTATAACTTAAACCTTCCAGTTTTGATAACATTCTTGTAAATCTTTTTTGCACCCTTTCCAGTTTAATAACATCCTTCCTATAGCAGGACGACCAGAATTGTACATAGTACTCCAAATGTGGTCTCGCCAATGTCTTGTATAGTTGTAACATGACATTCCAACTCCTGTTCTTAACATTTTGACCGATGAATGCAAGTGAGCCATACGCTGCCTTCACCACCCTTTTTAACCTGTGACACTACTTTCAAGGAACTGCACCCCTAGATCTCTGTTCAACACTTCCGAGACCCCTACCATTAACTGTAAGTCCTGCCCTGGTTTGGCTTACCAAAATGCAACACCTCACATTTATCTGAATTAAACTCCATCTGCCATTTTTCAGCCCACTCGTCCACTGTACTGTTGAGTAATGGAATCATTGAGGCATACTGTGCAGAGACAGGACCTTCAGCCCAACTTGCCGACCAGGTTTCCTAATGTGAATTAGTCCCATTTCCCTGCATTTGACATCTTTCTAAACCTTCATATCCATGTACCTGTCCAAATGTATTTTAAATATTATAATTGTACTAGCCTCTACCACTTCCTTTGTCAGTTCATTCCATATATGAAGCAACCTCTATGACAGTGTTGCCGCTTGGATCCCTTTAAATCTTTCTCCTCTCACCTTAAACTTCTACGCTCACTTTTAACTTTATTTCTTTATTTTTCTACACTATACTATGCAGAACTGAAATGTTAAAGTTTTAACTTATTTCTTTGTTTTGCTACTTTGTACCTAAAATTTTGTACCTAGATATCTTGTTGGGGCAGGGAATGGCAACTTTGTGTACTTGTATTCTTGTATTCCTGTATCCCTGTACTTGAGTACATTTGATAATAAAACCTAATTCTAATTCTAATTCAGTTGAACATGCCTGTTATAATGTTGAGTTTATACTTTTTCTATAACAATTATCCTTGTGAATAATTATTCTGAATGTTTAGTACATCACTGTTGTGCTTTAGAATGTACCTTCTACTTGTGCAATGTAATGTTTACTGTAAAAAAAAAAAAAAGACGTATCTGGTCTTTTACAATTAAAGATTTGGTGTGATGTTGCCTTTGGAGGTTAACAGCTTGGAGGCAAGATTATAAAACAGCAGGTGGGTTTACCTAGCCAAACATTGAAACTATAACATCTGCAGCCCTTGTAGTAGTGCAGACTGGAGAGATGTTCTGTTTTGGGACTTTGAGCTAAATTAGTTTAAAAGCATTCAGTGTAAATTTAGGGAGAATGAATTTAAAGGTTAATTTGAGGATAGCCCAGAGCAGGCCCTGTCATCGTTAAAATGGGTGATTGTAGGAAGGCTATCTGATTTTAATTTATCTACCTGTTTGCTGCAAGGGGATTTTAGTTACTTTTTGGGCCTTTTGTTGTTTGCCACTTACTGAAGGAAGCTAATGTAAGTAGTGGTAAGAAGAATTGTGCTGTAAGTGGACTAAACCACTAAATTCATTTACAAGTGAAAGGCAGAAGAGACTTCAGGCATTAGTAAGTTATCACAAAAAAAAAATTAATTACATGAATTTGACATGAAGCTCCATGCTTTGGAGAAGAGGCAAGATCATGGTTGTAAATGATTTCTTGTTTTTCCCTGGCTCGTTATAATTTGCAGAAAATATAACATTAAATATTTATCTCCTCTGATGGTTTTGATGGTGCAGATCACTTTTTTAGTTATAACGGTGTTGCAGCATTTTCTGCAACTTCTGAATATATAATATGATCCTACTGGCATAACTGGGGCCCTTCAGCACTGAATTCAAAAGTTTTAAGGGGTGGAACTCTTTGTGACCACTGCATCCATAGTCATCTTGATATCACCCCCATGTCATTCCTTTTAAAGAAGCAGAGTTAAAATAGTTCCGGAACTAAAGGTAGTCTGTTAACCTATAACAAGGGATGTTCCAAATAGTCTTTTAAAGCAATAAACACTTGGATGGTTCCTTAATGTTTTAAGAAAGACCATTTTGCTTTCAAAATGCACCAAAGTGACGTGGTAAATTGGACAAATTAGATGTGATTCAATTTGTTACAGCTAGCAAAATGATTGTAAAACGAAATGTCTGTTGGTCAATTTGGAAGCTCTTTTCTGTGTTTAACTTATAGAAGTTAAGGGTCTCATTCCATGCTGTATGACTGTATGAATCTAAAATCTACAAAGTTGTATTGATGCTTTGTTGTTGGAAAATATTTTCTTTTGACTTGTGATTGATCTTGGCTTTCTTACAGGATATGTGAACTAGATGACCTAGGCGAGCTATCTCCCTGCTGGGAGAATCTTCGAAAACAAATTGTTACTCAGTATCAGACCCTCATAATAAATTACCAGGAGAATTTAACAGAGCTGCATCAATATAAAGGTTGGCCTACATTATGGAACATTTTGATGCCTAATTGACAGGTAGCATTGTTAAACCTTTCAGTTATATTTGCATAACAGGTGGTATATTCAGGAACAGGAAATACTACCTATTTTGCAGTCAGTGCCTCACTGAAGAATGGGTTATGGCCATTTGACAGACATTGTGCAGAGATCACAAGTCCCCTGCATTGCTGCAGGGATATGCCTCTGAAACATCTTTCCACAGACCTTTGGGCATGCAGAGCAGGGTGTCTCACTAACTATTGGGATCAGGAAAGCTTTTCTTTCCATCTCTGACACTGCTCTGCCTTTTTATTAAAGCATTGTGGCTCAACCTGATGCAACTGTTTAACATTCCAAGCTACAAAATTTTTCTATCGTTGGTCACAAAGATGGTTATCCCCTGGTATGTGGTTCCTCAGCCATGAGAATGTGAATCAACCTAAGTTCAGGGAATTGTTTGCGGCCCAAAGATGCCTCTGTACCCACCTCTGTCTGGCAGTGTTTGTGGAGTGAGAAAAACAGAGTCAGTGTTTCAAGTCCAGTATGATTCCTCTTTGAAACTGAAAGCAGCAGGATAAGTAAAGGGTTTTATGGTGAGGAAAAGGTAGAGAGGAAGAGCAAATAGAACAGATGATAAAGGTGCCCCATGGCAAATGACAGGGAGTACATAGGTGAAGATTAGGGTGCTAATAGTGGACCATAGGTGAGCTTGACTCAGTAAACCCATGCAGACAAGTTACGGGGGGCCAGAGTGGGGGATATTCGGAATTAGACAGTGGTACATCAGAGACCAACAGCCACTAGAAGGCCTGGAGTGCTGGGATCAAGAGGTGGAGCCACTGTCTTGGGTTGGGGAATGAATACTTGGGCCCACAGCAGCCCCTGGGCTTGCCATCAGTCACCTGTGTGCAGACTCTTGAATAGTGACAGCCCTGTCCCAGTCATCAATCCTCTATTGCCGCAGGAACTGGCAAACAAGTCATGTAGAATCTGTAATTGATGTCCTCTCCTTGGAGCGTTGTTGTTGTCCACACAATGTTAGTGGCTTGATGATCTTGTGACATGTCCCATCACACTGACTCAGGCCACATTTTCCCTGCAGCCTTCTACAATGTTGTACATCTCCCCCTCACTGAGGATGAACAGTCAGTCCTCAGTAAAGGACTCCCCTTTATCCCCGTCCACCCTAACATCAACGAATACTGCTCATGTTTGGACGTTGAACAGTTTTTCTACCGCCTCCGCGCTTACTCCTTTAATCGCGAGGCCTGCTACCCTCCCTGGACCTCTTCATCCCCAACTGCCGTCGAGACATCAATCGCCTCAACCTCTCCGCCCCTCTCAACCACTCCAACCTCTTCCCCCACAGAACATGCAGCCCTCCGCTACCTCTGCTCCAACCCTAACCTCACTGTAAAACCCAAGGACAAGGGTGGCGCAGTTGTAGTGTGGCGCACTGACCTCTACATTGCCAAGGCCAGGCGCCAGCTCTCTGACACCTCCTCCTACCGCCCCCTTGATCATGACCCCACCCCCGACCACCAAAACATCATCTCCCAAAACATCATCTCCCAGACCATCCACAACCTCATCACCTCAGGTGACCTCCCACCCACAACCTCCAACCTCATCGTTCCCCAAACCTGCACCGCCTGCTTCTATCTCCTTCCCAAAATCCACAAACCTGACTGCCCTGGTCGACCCATTGTCTCCGCCTGCTCCTGCCCTACCGAACTTATCTCCACTTAACTCGACTCCATTTTTTCCCCCCGGTCCAGGAACACACCACCTACGTCCGTGACATCACCCACGCCCTCCACCTCCTCCACCTCCTCCAAAACTTCCGATTGCCTGGTCCCCAACACCTCATCTTCACCGTGGCCGTCCAGTCCCTATATACTTGCGTTCCCCATGCAGATGGCCTAAAGGCCCTCCGCTTCTTCCTGTCCTGCAGGCCCGACCAGTCCCCCTCCACTGACACCCTTATCTGCTTAGCTGAACTCGTCCTCACCCTTAACAACTTCTCCTTCAACTCCTCCCACTTCCTACAGACAAAGGGGGTGGCCATGGGTGGTACCCACATGGGCCCAAGCTATGCCTGCCTCTTTGTAGCATACGTAGAACAGTCCCTCTTCCGCAGCTACACTGGCCCCATCCCCCACCTCTTCCTCCGTTATATCGATGACTTATCGGCTCCCACAAGGGGCTTGAACAGTTCATCCACTTCACTAACACCTTCCACCCCAATCTTAAGTTCACCTGGACCATCTCCGATACCTCTCTCCTTCCTGAACCCCTCTGTTTTCATCTCTGGCAACCACCTGGAAACCAATATCTGGTCGAGAACGCCCTCAACCGTGTCTCCCACATCTCCTGCAACTCATCCTTCACACCCCGTCCCCGCAATAAGAACCAAAAAAGAATCCCCCTCGTCCTCACGTACCACCCCACCAACTTCCGGATCCAACGCATCATCCTCCGACACTTCTGCCATCTGCAATCCGACCCCACCACCAAAGACATCTTTCCCTCCCCACCCTTATCTGCTTTCCGGAGGGAGCACTCCGTGACTCCTTTGTCCGCTCCACACTCCCCTCCAGCCCCACCACACCCGGCACTTTTCCCTGCAGCCGCAGGAAGTGCTACACCTGCCCCCATACCTCCTCCCTCACCCCCATCCCAGGCCCCAAGAAGACTTTCCACATCAAGCAGATGTTCACCTGCACATCTGCCAATATGGTATACTGCATCCGCTGTACTCGGTGTGGCCTCCTCTACATCGGGGAAACCAAGCGTAGGCTCGGGGACTGCTTTGCAGAACACCTACGCTCGGTTCGCAATAAACAACTGCACCTCCCAGTCGCGAACCATTTCAACTCCCCCTCCCATTCCTCAGACGACATGTCCATCCTGGGCCTCCTGCAGTGCCACAACGATGCCACCCGAAGGTTGCAGGAGCAGCAACTCATATTCCGCTTGGGAACCCTGCAGCCCAATGGTATCAATGTGGATTTCACAAGCTTCAAAATCTCCCCTCCCCCTACCGCATCCCAAAACCAGTCCAGCTCGTCCCCGCCTCCCTAACCTGTTCTTCCTCCCACCTATCCCCTCCTCCCACCTCAAGCCGCACCCCCATCTCCTACCTACTAACCTCATCCTGCCCCCTTGACCTGTCCGTCCTCCCTGGACTGACCAATCCCCTCCCTAACTCCCCACCTACACTCACCTTTACTGGCTCCATCCCCGCCTCCTCGACCTGTTTGTTTCCTCTCCACCTATCCTCTCCTCTATCCATCTTCTATCCTCCTCCCACTCTCTCCCTATTTATTTCAGAACCCCCTTCCCCTCCCCCTTTTCTGATGAAGGGTCTAGGCCCGAAATGTCAGCCTTTCTGCTCCTCTGATGCTGCTTGGCCTGCAGTGTTCATCCAGCCCTGCACCTTGTTGTCTCTATTTCAAGCCCACCGACTCCCACAGCTACCTGGAATACACCTCCTCTCACCCACCTTCCCCCTATTCCCAATTCCTTCACCTTCGCCGCATCTGCTCCCGAGATGAGCATTCCACTCCCAGATATCCCAGATGCCCTCGTTTTTCAAGGACCGCAACTGCCCCTCCACAGTGGTTGAAAACGCCCTCGACTGCATCTCTCGCGTTTCCCGCAACTCATCCCTCACACCCCCTCCCCACAATAACAACAAAGACAGACAGAATCCCCCTCGTCCTCGCACCAACCTCCTGATTCAACGCGTCATCCTACGCCACTTCCACCACCTGCAATCTGACCCCACCACCAAGGACATTTTTCCCTCACACCACCCTTATCTGCCTTCCGGAGGGACCACTCTCTCCATGACTCCCTTGTCCGCTCCACACTCCCCACCAGCCCCACCACCCCTGGCACTTTTCCCTTCAATCGCAGGAAGTGCTGCCCCTACACCTCCCCTCTCACCCCCATCCCAGGCCCCAAGAAAACCTTCCACATTAAACAGATGTTCACCGGCACATCTGCTAATGTGGTATATTCTATCCACTGTTCCCGATGTGGCCTCCTCTACATCGGGGAAACCAAGTGGAGGCTTCGAGATCGCTTTGTGGAACACCTACGCTTGTTTCGTGACAAACAACTGCACCTCCCAGCCTTAACCCACTTCAACTCCCCCTCCCACTCCTTGGACGACATGTCCATCCTGGGCCTCCTCATCCACAACGATGCCACCCGACGGTTGCTTGGGAACCCTGCAGCCCAATGGTCTCAATGTGGACTTCTCAAGCTTCAAAATCTTCCCACCCCTGACCTCATCCCAAAACCAGCCCAACTCGTCCCCGCCTCCTTGACCTATCCGTCTTTTCTCCCACCTATCTGCTCCTCTCACCTCAAACCCCACCCCACCTCCTACCTACCAGCCTCATCCTCGCTTCCTTGACCTGTCCGTCTTTCCTTGAATGACGAACCCCCCTCCCAACTCCCCACCTACACTCAGCTTGACTGGCTCCATCTCCGCCTCCTTGACTTGTCTGCCTCCTCTCCACCTATCTGCTCCTTTATCTACTTTCTGCCTCTTCCCCCTCTCTCTCTTTATTTCAGAATCCCCTTCCCCTCCCCCATTTCTGACCCAAAACATCAGCTTCCCTGCTCCTCTGATGCTGCTTGGCCTGCTGTGTTCATCCACCTCTACACCTTGTTATCTCAGATTCTCCAGCATCGGCAGTTCCTACTGCCCCCTTCTACGATGTTCACAGCCTGCTGTGCAGGTAGTGGTGTTGCAGTGCATAAACATCAGAGTGTATATTTTGAGCTTTAAAAATATGACTGACAGGCAGGATTCTTTTGTAAACATTTCAAAATACTGGACGGTTTATCTAATTTAAAATGGTCTTCTACAGGTCCATCTTTCAAGGCAAGCAGTTTAAAAGCTGAGAAGAAATTAGAATTTGTACCTACTAATTTGCACATTCAGCGGATGCGGGTTCAAGATGACTCGGGGACAGGTAATTTCTTTGAGCAATTATTTGTTGTGTATTTCAATTGTACCACTGATCAACTGGATTTGAAGTCAAAGAACAAAACTTCTGCTCCTTTTAATCCTTAATTAATAAATATTTTGCTTCCTTGTTTTTTAATGTTCCTGAAAAGTTTTGTTTTAAGCAACAGCATTTTTCCTCAATAGTTTGTTCTTCGTATACTTCAAACCTAGTCAATTGTTGAAACATGGATGGGATATTTTTGGATCAGGAAAATTTCACGAACTGATGTCGTCATTTTCACAGTGTAAAGTTTATTTGGTTGAAATTATCCTGAATGCCTTCAGAACTGGCAAAAGCCTTTTGCTTCGGAATATAAAACTTGTGTTGCATGGAAGTTATAAAGCGCACGTGGGCCATTATGGCCAACTAATCTACACTAGTATTCGAGCTTTACACAAGCGTCCTTTCCCCCTCCTCAGCCTGATAACTTATCCATTTGTTTTTCTTTGTCTCTTAAGTATTTATCTAGTTACGTCTTAGAGATTTATGGATTTTCCAACAAAAAGCACCGGAAATACTTATCTGGAGTGAAAGCATTAATGTTACAGATTGATGAAACGTCATCAAACTGAAAAATTATCTGTTTTTCACGACTTATCTAAATATTTTTCCTTCAGATATCCAGCGTCCACGCTATTTTGCTTTTCAATGTTATTTGCCTTTTATGCAATTACCTTACATGGTAACAAGTGAACTCCTTCTAGCCACTGTGGTAAATAATTCTTTTAAACTTCCGGGCTCACTTCAATAATTGCAAGTCCACCCATCAAACGTAAAGTTCTTAACAGCTCAATTGACTGGAATATTACACTGACTCATGCCTTAACATGTTTTCAGTGGGCACTTTTTCTTACGTCTTAGAAATGTGGGAAAGGGGGAGTACTGTGTTAGGATGCCTTTTCTGCTGCATGGAATGGTTAGCCAATAATGTTGGCTGGCAGCTCCAGGGGTTGTGACTTCTTCTAACTGATCGATGGAAATCCAACTACCACGCTTTATAGCTTCTTGGAGTATGTCAGTTAGCCATCGACTTCCCAGTATGTGGAAGTGAAGAGGTGATTCACTTTCAGAAAGAAAACCCGCTGTCCTTATTTGGTCTGGTCTACGTGTAATTCCTGACCCACAGCAATGTGGTTGACTGTTAATTGCCCTCTGAAATAGCTTACCGAGCCACTCAGTTCAAGGGTAATTAGGGACTGGAAATAAATATTGGCACTTTGAGTGACGTCTACGTCAAATACACAAATAAAGGATCAAAAATGACAGTTGGAGTCCCTTGCTTTAAATCCAAATGGGTATTTTTGTTAGACTTCACCCATTTATTACCTCGGTAGTTCTCTGTGTTCTTTATGCCACAGATCAGACGTATGACATAATTACTATTGGGGCGCCAGCAGCTCACTGCCAGGCCTTCAAATCTGGTGGCTTACGAAAACTTCTGGTCAAGTTTGTGGAAGCAAAGAAAAAGTAAGTTAAAGAGAACTTAAAATCCTTAAAGTTTGCAAGGTTTTATATTACTTTTCCTGATGTATTGGATATTGTAGCATGAAATTGCTCATTAGTTGCTGCTTCATTTGGTGGTTTTCTTAAAATCGTCAAAATCAAGGAGGTACTGTACCTTCAACATTTTTGGAAATTAGCTGATGTGTGGTTATAGGCACTTGAAAGGAGACAAGTCAATGAAATAATCTTAACTCAATTACGAATGGGAGAAAATAAGGCTTACTGACAGTTTGCTTGTCACACTTCTGTGCTGATCACCTCTTTGCAGTATAAATCAAATATATACTTGTAGCATTATATTAAGCTGCAGAAAATATGGCAATATTTTAAATACTGTACCTTTTAAACAAAAATGAAAGCACCAAACTCTCCAGGTACTGTGACCTCCATTTACTTTGCTGAGCAGAGGAACTTGTTGGTCCATCCAATGTCTTTTACATCAGAAACCAGAAAACAGCCACTGGTGCCGTTTGTTTCCTTTCCACTTTCAGACTTCCTGAGAGTCAAGTGGTCTGCTCTTAATTTAATTTCACGCTTTGCTAGAAATAGGACCTGAGCCATCCATTTATTTTGTGTATTTACCACTTGTGTACCACATGGTATCAGATTCATTGAAACTCTTGTTTCTTAGCTAAATAGCTTAAAGATTTCCACGTAAAATCACTAGTATTGTAGTGCTACCTCTATACAAACTGCAAGTAATTATTTCCTCCTCCTGGAGCATTGGAGTTTTATTTAACAGATACCTGAACCATAGACCAATTTTTCTGGTTTTAATCCCTGTTCTAAAAGTTAGATGAGACCATTGATAAACCACAATTGCCTTTATGTCTCTTCATTAGAGAACCATGTTTCTTGCTCTTGATTTCAAACAAGTGATCTACTGGAATGTACAATTACTGACATTGGCTGATGAGGATAATGTCTAAATAATAGGATTAAAAAAAAATTTGTTGAAACTGTAAGGTGAAAAACGTGGATTTGAATTGAATATTGTAAATTTAGTTTCAAGTTTCAAATTGCCATAATTACAATAAGGCTAAGGTTTCATTTCAAGTTGCATGGGGGGTTGATGATTGCTTTGTAGACATCCTTGCGTCCTGGTAGATTGCAATCTATTTGCATGAATAATTAATTACTTGAGCCTTGTGCAGACTGCAGATTGTTTTGTCACCTTGGTAGCAAGCTGAAACCTTGAATACTAATTTAGTTTTAGTCCAAAATTGCCATTTCATTTTTTTTGCAAAATTGAATAAATTGTTTTTGCTCATCCTGAGTTTAAAAGTATAGTTGGTTTTATTTGCTGATTAGTTTTTGATGATAAGCAACACTGCTTGTAACACTCTTCTGCAATTGTTTCTGTTCTGTTTGTTTATTCTTTTCCCCTTAGCGTGTATGAGGAGGGTTGGTGAGTTCCTAACTGTTGACAGCTAAGCTTGATCATTTGGTTTCCATGTTCATTTTATGTCCTGTTTCATTTTCTTTTCAAACCAAAATGTGTTCATACTGAAAATACCATAATTCCTTCATAGGGCACTAACCATTGTTTGTTGAGAACTCCATATTTAACCATGGGTTACTTATTAATATTACAAGATTTGCATAATGTTGCCATTTAATTAATAACACCTGTTTGTCTCAGTGCTGTATTGTAATATTGCATGTCCAGAATAATTCCATTATTCAATCCAAAAAAGACTTTAAACCAACCATTATGCACGCATCAGTCGATGTGGATAGAGTCCTGTTAGGTTATACCAAGCAAGTTTTTCCAACTAATGAAAAGACGTGAAGCCATTCTTCATGCATGCGTGGATAAGAAGCAGTTATATCTGGGAATAACTTAATTCAGCCACTTCAGTTTATGTCTCAAACAGTCTGTCAGTAGACATTCAAATTTTTATTAATTTCTTCTCTTGTCAAAGCTCTATCAGTTCGTGCATCTCTATGTAGTAGTTTGTTCCTAATTCACTTTTAATCAGCTACCACAAGGAACATCAACCAACTGGTATGTTCTTTATCAGTTTATACCCTCCTGTGTTGGAACCTGCCTGGTCTCCGTCTATTGTCTACCTGCAACACAGACTAAGTTTGAGCAGTCAGTGTTGTGGAGAAATGTAGAAAGGGAATGGAGAATGTCATTGCTTCAATGTTGTTCTCAAATAAAATAGATTAATTTGAACATTACTGAAAATAAATCTAATACTATACTGTTCATTTGCTCCAATTGGATGTATCAAATCCATTCTGAGAGAAAATTGTTACCTTAGTCAGATCATTACTCATATATTATGTAAATTTTGATTGAGTCTAAAACTGCCACTTTGGGTCCTAAAAGTGCCCAATCAAACTTCAGTTAAGTTAAGAGACAGGTAGTTCTCCAATAACATGATAGTTGCGTTCTTGTGTACCTCGCGTTATAGGAAATCGCCATTAAAAAATCACATTATAGGGAAATTGCTATACCTGTATAGCAGAAAGATTGCATTATCCAAACAGCATCCACTATTCACCAATCGAGTTACAGCCAACTCGGGTTAACGAAATGTGTGTTATGGCAGAACTACCTGTGTCTTAAAAGGTTGAGCAGCATCTGAAGTGAGTTGTTTCTGACTGCTACCATCCAGTAGCAACACAAATGGTGTCAGCCACTAACAGGATACTACCGTCAGGCCAAAAAGGATTCTACCTATTATGATACTGAGTAATGGGGCATATTAATTTCAGTATTTGCTAGGTATGTAGGCAGTGAATCAGTTGACTGACTGTAGCACACTGGATCCCTTCCACAGACTAGCTACTGACCAAACCCAAGCCGTCCACAGTCCATCTTTTTAATATTAAAAAGAGTCCAACATGTATTTGATTTCACTATTGGATAACATTTGGTAAATAATCCCAATTGTGCTATGAATTACATTGACAACCAATTCAAGATTGTCAGTTAGGGTCATAGGCACATAGTATAGTTGTACATGTTGCACACTAAATACATTAATCCACAGGGCCCTGCCCTTTGCAGACAGAATATGTAGGAATTCTGCCTGTTTCAACTTAGCAAAATCTGTGATATTCACTAGCTCGTTACTCAATGCCTTGACCAATCTGAGTCAATCTGCCTGATTTAAATTTAAAGCTTGGAGCTAACTGTCAGTCATCGTCTAACAGGTGCATTCTCCATGGCAATGCTTCTACCATCAGAGTCCATTTGTCAACCAAACAACAAGCTGCTCTTGTACAGAATGAAATTTTTTTTTTTACATTGGTATTCTTGTGAATGTCCTGTTGAGCGCATTATGAGAAGCTTTGACAAAATGTCTTTTCTTCAGCAAAAGTAAAATTCTGTGTAAATTAGATTATCTGGTTTGAATTCAATGGTTGCTGTTGGTAAGTGTCCTTCATCAGTACTGTTGCTAGTTACAGTAATAGAGTACAGCTAGTGCATTTATGGGAAGTTTATTTATATGACTATATACTGTAACAACCTATTCTAAATAGGTGTCTCCTAAATTTGATCCTGAAGAGTTCCAGTTTCAATTAATAATTCCATTTGAGTCATTGTTTCAGAGGCAAATGAAATACGTCAATTGCTATTGTGGAACTCTGGGTTTTTAGAGTGATGCACTGTTTTCTAGAATGAACTTGTCAGGAAACCTAAGGGTCCTCATGACCCCGGGCTAAATTGAATCCAGGATCAGGTGAAGCAAGAATGCTACAATATTTATAAACACTTTCAGTGCAACAATAACCTTGTTTATATTGGGACGTGTACACTATTTTTAAACTCTTTGATCCAAATCAACATGAGAGCTGACTCACAGTCACTCATATTCGACTATTCTACCAACTGCAAAATCACCAAAATACTTTGCATATTTTGAATGAATTTCAGATGCCAGATATGAATTTTTTTTTGTTACATTGCAAATGCCACTTCCTGTGAGAAAGTGTGCAGCAAATTGTGTGGCACATCTTTTACTGTCAGATCTAGGTATTTGTTTAACTGATCATTACAATCAGTGCGATCAGTACAGTGGTTTTTCTCTGTACTGAGTCCAGGGCAAAGAAGATTGAGTTTATTTGAAGGAGAGAGCCCTAAGAAAATCCTGTTGTGCATCATTCTCATGTTAGATCAACCACTGACTCCCAATTTACATTAAGTTTAGTAATCAAACAGGGAGGCAATGGCCTGGTGGTATTATCACTGGGCTGTTAATCAAGAGGCCCAGAAAACATTCTGGGGACCCGGGTTCAAATCCCGCCATGGCAGACGGTGGAATTTGAATTCAATAAATATCTGGAATTAAGACTCTAATGATGACCGTGAATCCATTGTCGATTGTTGGAAAAACCCATCTGGCTCACTGATGTCCTTTGGGGAAGGAAACTGCCATCCTTACTTGGTCTGGCCTACATGTGACTCCAGACCCACAGCAATGTGGTTGACATGCAACGGCCCTCCGGGCAATTAGGGATGGACAATAAATGCTGCCTGGCCAGCGATGCTATCATTCCATGAATGAACTTTTTAAAAAATCATGAAAAGCTGAAGCAGCTTCCCACTAGAATGTGTCATCAATTATTTGGTTACCGTCTTGCTCTTGATATGTAGCAGGAATGGAAAAAAGCTGCAAAAATTTAGAATGCAGAGTTGTGGAAAGTTTGGTGGCAGCTTTGTGATCATGTGAATTGCCAAGTTAGATTAGGAGACGGTGGAGATAGAGAGAGGAAGAACTTGCATCTGAATTGCCATTTATGTTTGGATTTATAATTTGCTAAGCAGTGTAAATTTTCTTTCTTACAGTTCATCATCTAGCTCCCAGTCTATAGTATACATACCACAAGACATAATAAGAGCTAAAGAGATTATAGCAAGCATTAATACCCTTAAAACGCAAGTCAGTTATTATGCAGAACGACTGTCGAGAGCAGCCAAGGAGAGATCGGCAAATGGCCTTGAAAGAACACTTGCTATTTTGGCAGACAAGGTAAGTAAGCTTTTTCCGTATTACTATTGATTATTATACCAGTGTTGTAAAACTACAATACTGCATGGCCCTTTTCATTTAGTTACATTTTTAACCATCTCTAGTGATCAAACCTCTGCACGGGTTCTTTGATCAATCTTCTTTCCTTTTTCCTTAGGGTATAGTGATGAACGCTTTTTTACAGTCCCAACCAGTTGAAGAGGGGATTCAAAGAAAGAGAGGCTGATAAGAATTGCTGACAGATTGTTAGACATTGCGAAAAATGAAAAAGTGTGCATGGCCTGCAGTATCCTATGATAAACTGTCTAATCTGGGAGATGAACAGCTGCTCATATCACAAGTGTCCTTAGAAAAGCAGTCAGCAACCATCACCCAAGTATTTACATTCTCCTGACTGGTAGTAAAGATAACCATGAAAATAGACACACACTCCTCCAATAACATTGCTTCCTTTTCCACATATGCAATAAAGGGACTTTGAAAAATGTATGCTTTGATGCTTCTTTATGGAGACATAGGAACATATCATGTTCTGTGAGATCAGGGATGATCAATACTCTCTCCCTGCCCCACTCCCCAGTATAGAATACCGCAGTGCAAATTATGACTGTTCTTTAGATATAAAAGTATTATCTTAGTTATTTATTTTTCCTTCACTTGTCATTTTTTCTCTTTACTTAGACAAGGCAGCTTGTCACTGTTTGTGACTGCAAGTTGCTGGCGAATGCAGTTGAAGCCCTTAACGCTGCCAGACCCAATTATATCGCTTCTAAATCATCCCCATCAGGAGAAGCAGATCAAGTGATGCTGAGAAATGACCAGGATACACTCATGGCCAAGTGGACAGGCAGGAATAGCCGTTCTTCCCTACACATCCGTTGGCATGAGGAGGAATGGGTAAGTCTGAGAAAAGGTTGCAAATGAGCTGAAGTTTGTTAATATTGGTTATGCTGCATTCTGGGTTGTGGTACCCCACATAACTTCAACAACTCACTATCGCTCCTTGGACAGTGCCTTCCAAACCAACGACCAGACCCATTTAGAAGCACAAGGGCAGCAGATATATAGGAATATCGTGATTAGAGTCATAAGAGTCATACACCATAGAAACACACCTTTGGTCCAACTCGTCCATGCTGACCAAGTTTCCCAAATTAAACTAATCCCATTTGCCTGCTTTTGGCCCGTATCACTAAACCTTTCCCATTCATGTACCTGTCCAAATGTCTTTTAAATATTGTACCTGCATCTACCACTTCCCTTGGCATTTCATTCCACGTACGAACCACCCGCCATGTGAAAACATTGCCCCTAGGGTCCCTTTTTAAATCTTTCTCCTCTGACCTTAAAAATGTACCCCTTAGTTTTGAACTCCCCTACCCTAGAGAAAATAACTTTGCAGTTCACCTTATCAATGCCTTTCATGATTTTTTAAACCTCTACAATGTTGCCCCTGAATAGTTAGGTACTTGGTTTTGATTGGCCACTCTTTCCCCATAACTTTACATTTGTCTTTCTAATATGACTTCAAATTATAGGAGTTGCAATGAAGCAATTTCTTCTCTGAAAATTTTAGTGGAAATTATTTATAAAAGTTTAAAATAGCTTTAAAAATAAACAAACCAAATACCTAATGCTAGTACATATCATTGTAAGTGGGTTTTCCACCACTTTTCAACCATACTAAATAGATTCTATCTACAAATACTGTCAGGAATTCTTTTGTGAAGGATTTTGTGCTGCATACACATTGACTGCCTTGATCTAGAAATCCAGTTTTGTTAGCACTGTTCTCTCACTTGCCCTGTCTCACTTATATTTTATAAATGTATAGATGAGCACACACAAGAATCTCACCTGTGTATGTATGTGAACATATTTTCAAAAATCAAACAGCATCAAAATGATTAGTTTTACCTGTCAAATATCTCAAACAACTGGAATTGGATCACCTTCCCTGTAGGTCTGTTTCGGTGCTGTATGGCTATATAAGTGCCATTGCACGTGCTTTTTATAATATCTTTATGTAAATCTGTTATTCTCCCCTTTTACTTAACATTTAACGCTGTAATTTAATAAAAGCAAACATATACACAACACTTCTAGAATTTCAGATCATTGGACAAATGTAATTCAGAGTTTGCATTATTTCTTCAGCTATGAATTTGTGATGCCATTCTCTGTTCATCTGAGCTCAACTGTTTCAATTATAGCACTAATTTTTGTAAAATCATAATGCATAGGCATACTGAACTGCAGTGTTTACATCCTAATTTGCCATCCTCAATCTCGGGTTGACTGAAGAAAGAGGAACAGAAAATGCATACAAGATCTGAAACAAGTTACAATTTCAATTCTTGCTTGGAGTGGCTAGCCTATTGACATAGGCTAGCAATTGTGGAAATGCAAATAAGAATGCCAAAACATTGTTTCCATGCTTCAGCTAGGCCATGAAGGGAGACCGACAAGGGGCTTGAGATTCAAAGTCTCTTGAACTCAATGTCTGTACAAGGGAGATCAAAGCAAAATTCCTATCCCCTCATAATAACCTTCAGATTGTGTTTTATTTTCCTATTGCAACCAGGGAGTTGAGTGATCCATTTTATAAACCATTGTCATTTTTCCTTTTTTTAGGAGAAGGTGTGGCTTAATGTTGATAAAAGTTTGGACTGTATTATTCAGAGGGTGGACAAACTTCTCCAGAAGGAGCGGTTACATAGTGATAGCTGTGAAGATGTTTTTCAGTGTGACACTACCTCTACCAGCAAGAAAGGTAACCAAGAATATCGTGCATACTGGATAAATCCAGGGGACTTAGATGAGAAATGTTCTCGATCTCCATCGTCATGTCGTTCATCCAATAACAGAGCTGCGTGTGAGTGAACATTACCATTTGCTTTCCTTTCTAACCCTTGGTATGTTGAGTTAAAATCATTTGGTTAAGTTTAAAAATGGGAGACAAAAAAAGCACCATGGCATTAAATCCAGATCTAAGAAGAAATGTTTTGTGCACAGTGCTAGTCTGCTGACAGCCAGCAGGATGCAGGTCCATCCTAGTCCAGCATTTGTAATTTGGTATGTCATCTGGGCTGCTTTTGTTGCAGGCTTCTGTTGTTGGCCTAAGACTTTATATTCTGATGAATTGCTCAAGATCATTCAGATGATCAGTGATGCTCATGCTAGTTGCAGAGTTGCTCTTCCCCTTCCTCTCCCCTCTCTCCCTCACTCACCCTTCAGGAAAGTGGCATGGCCACTTTTGCAAAAACAATGCTGCCAGATTTGATAACCAGATGGCACTGAGCTGCAATCAATAAAAAGCCAAATCTCCTAACATTAGTGCTGTCTGTCCTTAAATTGTTGCTTTATGCAGTTTCTCAACTTGCTGATTAATTGGCAATGTATTTATTAAATGTATATCGCCTTTTCCTCCCAATTTAATTGAAACCAGTGAAAATTTTGTATTGAAACAGAAGGTAGGAAAATGGCCAATTTTACTGCAGTCTGTTAGCAAGAGTTTATATACTGTGTTTTCCTGAGGCTTGGAACAACACATTCATTGGTAAGGAAATGCCCATCCTGATGCTTTTTAACAAAAGAGTCCACTTGTAACAATTGGATCTTCTAAATGCTCCAATTGATCGGTTTCTTCCAGTGATCTTACCAAGGGTTAGTTTCCATTTCATTTTTTCCTTAATTTTGTATTTGGATATTTTATTGGTTTGTTCATCATGCTGTCTGCATTTCCATTGCTTGCTCTTTCCAATTCTGCTATCCTTGCTTTTACTGTAGGTTAAATAGGTAGCTACAGATTAAACATATTGAAAGATTAAAATTTGATTTTGAGTTCCAGTCCTGGAAACATGGCACGTTTGTCTTAAACAATGCTCATGTCAGATTTGGGCGGAGATATAAATGTAGAAATAATGAGTGAACAATTGCTTCAAACTTGCACATCCACTCTCACATCTTCAAGAATTCTGTCTACATGTGAATGCTGATAATACATTGAGTTATAAGGAAAGCATAGTCTTCCTTTGACTGAAACAAATGAAACTTATTTTTCATGGTGCCGTAGTCAGATAAATAAACTACTACGGGGGCTCATTTATGAATAATGAAGGAAGATGCATCTTAAATTAGTTTTCCTGTTCACCCCAGAAGAAGCCCTTGTACATAATAATTTGTTTTCTTTATTTTTCTTCTTTATACTAAGAAGAACAGTAATTTTGAACTTTTACCTTATTTCTTTATTTTTCGATTTTGTACCTGAGTACCTTTTGTACCTAAGATGGTGCCAGGGATGGCAACTTTGTACACTTTTCAATGTACTCCTGTCTTCCTGTACTTGAGTATGTGACAATAAAACCTAATTCTAATATAAAAGTGTTGCTTCTTCTAGAAGATAATATACAGATGTTAGCGAGCCATCCCACTGAAGTGTGAAATTCGGATCTCGGCTTTACAGCTGAAATGTAGATTCTGGTGAGAGTGATCCTGTTGACATAAGAGCAGCTTTTGATTGAACATGGCATCAAGGTGTCCTTGCAACACTGGAGTCAAAGGGAATATCTTCTGCTGGTTAGAGCCATATGTAACACAAATATGGTTGTGGTGTTGTAAGTTGATCAATTCACTCCCAGGGTATCATTAAAGGAATTTCTCCGAATAGTGTCTTAGGCCCAATCATCAGCTGCTTTATCAATGACCTTCCTTCCATCCAAAGATAAGAAATGGAGCTATGTGCTGATGACTAAGCATTGTTTACCACTATTTGCAACTCTCTAGATGCTAAAGCAATTAAAGCTAAGACTTGGATAGGGTTCAGGGTTGACTGATGAGTAGTGAGCAACATTCGCTCCACACAAGTGTCAGGCAGTAACATCTTCAACAAGAGTGAATCTAACCAAATAAAGCTAGAAATTGCTGGAGAAACTCGGTGGGTCTGACAGACTCTGTGGTGGGCAAAATGAGTTCACGTTTCGAGGCTGCTATGACTCTCCAATTTGAAGAAGTTGGAATAGTAATGGGTTTTATGCTGTAGCAACAGGGGCAGAGGAGCAAGCAGAAGGGATGGTAAAGGAATCCAGAGCAAAAGGCGAAGGGAGTGCTAATGAGAGTAGGGAAGAGGTATAGACAAAGTTTTAACTGTTACTGGTAGCTGTTAATAGCAGAAGGTATGTCAGCTTACTGAGAGCAAAAAATGCAAACAAGACACTCAATTGGGGGGTAAGTAAGGGTGGATGAGAGAAATGAGTAATTGACATGGAGGATGCCATTTGTAATCTGACATTGATGAACTCAGTGGTGAGTCCTGAAGGTTGTAAGTGAGTAAATTGAAAATGAGGTGCTGTTCCTCCAGAGTGTGCCCAAACCCCCACACCCCCATTGACATTATTGGCATGATATTGTTGAATCTCCACTATGAACATTCATTAAGCAGAAATTGAACTGGACCACGATACAAGCTCTATGGCTACAAGAGCAGGTCAAGCTAAGAATATTGCAAAGGGTAACTCACTTCTAACTTCCTAATTCCTGTCCATCATTTACAAGATGTAAGTCAGGATAGTGATAGAATACTCTCCACTTGCCTGGATAGATTTCAGCTTCAGCACTGCTCATGAAGCTCAGTGCTATCAGAACAAAGCAGGCCCATTTGATTGACAATCCGTTCATCATCATCAGAATTCACTCCCTTCACCAGCATCACACAGTGCAGCAGTAGTTTTAATCATCTGCAAAATGCACTGCAGCAACACACCCGGATTTCTTAAATAGCATCTTCCAAATCTGTAACCTGTCACTTAGAAGATCGTTGAGAACAAATGCACCAGAACACAACCACTTTCGAGTTCCCCTTCTAGCCATAGACCATCTTGACTAGAAACAAAATCACCATTCCTGATTAACACAAACCCAGGAATAGTCAATTTAATAAAGTATACTTTTGATTCTTCTTAGAAGTTTTTTTTTGTCAAGCTCTTTATAAGCATATGCTGTAGTATGAATCAAATGCTTGTGTATTATTTTGATTTCTACCAATAAATTTGCCCTCAAAATGATTTGCAGCATTACTGGTGTTTTTCCACGTTAAAAAGAACATTTTTCTTGAAGACTTTGAGAGTTTCAAACACTTTCCAAATTTAAATTTCGTCAATAAAAATCTTGTTTTAGTAGATCACTCGTACATCACATTTAAGACTTTGAGCTTTATTTTAAATCTATGCTTCCTATCATCTTACTATCTCATGCCCATTACTTGTTTGTATGTGCCTGTGTGCGTGCTTCAGATTCTTGCATTTGACAGTAACTTACATTTGTTTACAGGGTTGTCTGATATATTTTGCTGATGTTCTTGGAATTTATAAACAATGAGATTACAACAAAAAAATTAATAGAACCATATTAGTGTATCCAGAATCAACAAACTCTAATGTAATTAGCAAACTAAAAAAAAATTTGATTATAATTATATGAAAGCATAATTTTCTAGTATTTATTAATTTTCTAGGCTCTCCAGTCAAGATCATGTTATGGGTTTAGGACCCTATTGATTAAATGCAAAATATATCAAATGCACTTAGTTTGTTAATGCCTCTGTTTTGAGACACCGTTACCTCTCCACCCTGGTTTGTTAACGACAATTTATATTGCAAGTCTGAATTCAAATTATAAGAACAACTTTTTGCATTTGCAGTGAAAGTTAATTTCTTTTTGTTTAATCTGAAGATCTGAGTCTAATTTAAACCAAGAATCTTGTTTTCTGTGAAATCTCGCTGCTCAATTATTGTTTGTTTAAATGACTTTAAGATTGACCACTAAAGGAAGCTTTGTCACTTGAAACAAAAAGCAGCTTTATAGTCTAACATTTGTCCTGTTGCATGCTGTGCGTTGAGTTGCTACCTTAAATAACTCTTAGTACTTGCTCCTACATCTGGGCATTTTGAATTTCTAAAGAAATAAATCACAGGATCTTTATTCATTTAAACTTTGACTTACTGAAGTCTTTTTTCAAAGCTTGTAATGTAAGAAATTTATTGCCAGTTTTGGCACCAGATTTTTTTATGCTTAATTAAAGAAAAATCTCCACCTTTGCAATAATTGCTGATGTTTAGAATGAATAACATTTTATCATAAATTTTGTTTGCATTGAGTCTGTGAAAAACCTAGTTATTCCCCTTGTGTTGATTTTAGTAAAGCATGGACTTTTTTTGATTAATCCATGCTTCGATGAGACCAATAGGTTGCTAGTGGCCCAAGTATCCAGTGTCCTCAGTTTTCCACGAGACATAAGAGCTGAAGGAGGCAATTTCGCCCTTTAAATTTGCTCTACCGTTCAATGATGATTCAAAATTCCAGTGCTTGGTCGAGGCACAGAGTTATATGTCACAAAAACAGACCCTTCAGTCCAATTCTTCCGCATTGACCAGATATACTAATCTAGTCCTGATCTAGTCCCATTTGCCAGCATTTGGCCCATATCCCTCTTAAAGCCTTCCTATTCATGCCTTTTAAATATTGTAATTGTACCGGCCTCCTCCTCCTCCTCTGGCATTTTGGTCCATACACTCATGACCCTCTGTGTGGATAAAGTTGCCATTCAGGTCCCTTTGGAAATCTTTCTCCTTTCACCTTAAACCTGTAATTTTGGACTTCCCTACCCTAGGGAAAAGACCTTGGCTATTCGTCCTATCTATGCCCCTCATGATTTTATAAACCTCTATAAGGTCATCCCAGTCCATGCAGTTCTTTTACACAAGTTATATGTTCAGCTTGTGTGTGATTGAATTTTATTATCTTTGGAAAGCAGATGTCCACACTGATTTTTTTTCTGCTGTGGATATTATATTTGGAACTCTAATGGCTTTATTTTTATGTGAAATGTTTCTCTTGATTTTAGTGTTTAAAAAGAAATGACACAATTATTTTATGCAAAGCTTCTTTTTATCTTGAACAATTGTTGCAGACCACCGATTTCAGGTGAGAAATAATACCAAAGAGTTTAAAAAGCTGCAGTACAGGGGAATTTGGGAGCCCTGTGCATGAAACATAGAAAAAGCTAGCATATAAGTTCAGCAGTGTATCATTGGTCATTATTTCAAAGAGAATCGTGTATACAAATGAAGCTAATGCTATACAACACTCCAGTCAGATCAGATCTGGAATGCTATAAACAGTCTTGGTCCCGTTATCTAAGCAAAGGAATGCTGGCGTTGGACGCAATCTGGAAAGGTTTACTAAGTTGATTACAAGTATAGAGAGATTTTCTTGGGAGAGGTTCAGTAGATTGGGCCTGTATTCATCAGAATTTAGAAGAATGAGAAGAAACCATACTGAAACGTAGATGACTCCAAGGGATTATTACAAGGTAGATTTGGAAAAGTTGTTTTCCCCATGTGGGAGAATCTATGACCAGTGCATCATCTGAGTCATGGATCGCCCATTTAATAGAAGTGAAGGGGAATTTCAGCGGGAAGTGAATGTGTGGAATTCGTTATTGTGGGAAACTGTAGAGACTGGGCCATTAAGTATATTATGGAATCCTAGAATTTTACAGTAAAGATGGCAGTGATGCAGCCCACTATTTCTGCAGTGGCTCCCAAAAGAGCTACCCAGCTAGCACCCTTCTCTAGCTCTAATTCTGTGGCTCTCTAAATTCATCAATTTCAAATGTATATCCAGCTCTGTTTTGAAATATCTTACAGAATCTGCCTCCACCATGCTCCCAGTCCGCACATTCCAAATTCTAACAGCTGTTTGAGTAAAATGGTTCTCCTCATCCCACTGCTAGCTCTCTTGCTGACAATCTTGAAATTGTGACCCATGGTTACTGACATAACAACTAGTGCAAATAGATCATCCTCCTTTATCTTGTCAAAATTGTTCATAGTTTTGAACACCTCAATAAGGTCCACCTCTTCTCTGGTCCAGGGAGAATCCACCCATTTTATCTAATCTTTCCTTGTATCTAAAATCTCTCATTCCTGGTATCACTCTAGTAAATCTCCTTTGCACTCCATCCAAGACTTTAATATCCTTCCTTAAATAAGGTGCCCAAAACTGAACTCTGCTCCAAATGTGGTGTGACCAATGATTTGTAGAGGTGTATGATCACTTCTTTGCTTTTATACTCTATTTACAAACCCAAGGATCTGTAAGCTGCCTCAACAAATGTTTTAACTTGTCTGGTCACCTTCAGAGAATAATGCACTTGACCCCGAAGGTCCCTTTGCTCCAGTAGTCCCCTCCAAGTTGTATCATTGAGACTGTCTTGTCTCTGTGTTTCTCCTACCAAAATGCATTATCTCACATTTCTCTGCATTGAAATTTATCTGACAAATCTGCCCATTTGGCCAACTTGTCACTGTCATTCTAAAGTTGCTCAGCGTCGTTCTCCTAATTCACTATTCTCCGTAGCTTAGCACCATCAGCAAATTTAAAGATTTTGCCCTCAACATCCTTCTCCAAATTGTTTATATATATCTGAAAAGGTGAGGGGTCCAATCTTAGTCTTTGGGGAGCACCGCTTCCAACTCGTCCAATTTGAGAAATGCCCATCATTACTGCCCTCTGTGTCCTATCTTTTGGCCAATTTCTAATCCATGCCACTAAGGACCCATCAATCCCAAATAATTCTGGTTTGCTAACCAACTTGTTATGTGCACAGATTCAAATGTTCAAATTTACCGCATCCTCAGAACTACCCTCATCTGCTGCCTGCGTCAGATCAACAAAGAATTCAATTACATTTGTCAGACATTACGTGCCCTTGTCAAAGCCATGTTGACTATCTAGTATTAACTTATTTTTCTCTAAGTGTGTCTTTATCATCCTGTATTATAGATTGCATCAATCTTCCCACTTCAAGCTGTACTTTTCTGGGTTATTCTTTACTCTTTTCTTAAATAACAGCATCACATTTGCAATTCTCCAGTCCACTGGGAATAATCTGCCTGGAAAATTTCTGTCCAGAGCAGAATTTTAGGCTGAGAAACAAAATCTTAATCAATAAGGGAATCTATTGTTGTTCGGATAATGTAGAAAATGGATTTAAGGTAAATCATACCAACTATAACCTTATTTAACAGCAGAATAGATATGGACTACTGGCTTATCTCAGCTCCTATGCCTAGAGGTGTCCCCTTTTCCTCTATTGCATTTTAATAGAAGCATCCCTTGCCATTCAGTTATAACATTATATCAAGAGTTGTAGGATACAGATTTATATTTATCAAAATTTGCCTAGGAAGAGAGAAATTTGAGAGTTGCTTCATAATCTATGGTTCTTCTGTATCTTTTCATAGGTAGTTGTAAGTAGTCACTGGCAGTGCTTGGGACAAGATCTCCGATCAGTTCTCTGTTAGGGAAGTTGTGGATATGAATCAGGAACTTCTATTAAAAAGAGATATTTTTACCTGTCATTGCCCTCAGAAAATCAGAGATTTTTATGTGAATGCAGATCAACATGCAAAAAGGAAAATTAAATGGATCCTTGTCAAACAAGTTAATTTATAATGGAAGTGACAAGTCCATTAATATTTATTTCTATAATATGGTTACACAATGCTCATTGTGTCTAGCTGCATAAAAGCTGTAGTTACAACAGGTTACATCACAACACTTTAGTGCAGGCTATTGATTTTAATGAATTATTTTAATATATTTAATGCAGGTGGCTTATTTTTCTAGTGAAAGCTTCTTGTTTGAAGATTCTATACTAACTTGCCCACTTTGGAGATCTACTTCAGTAAGGCAAATTGAAAGATGTGTTCGGAAAATGCCCAGATGGAATCATTCTTGCCCTGAAAAGCTCTTGCTCTTTGATTCTGTTTTGCTTGCTGCTTTATCAGAGCTGAGTGCGAAGCACCTCATTGTAAAATACTTCAAAGAGAAAAGCAACTAGATCTGCTTGTCAGTAGAAAAAAGTGCTGCTTCCTAATCATGCATGTGCACCTCCATTTCTGTGCAGATTGCCACTCCACTGCAGAGGAGCCTACTGAAGGTATGTGTGTTTTCTAGGCCCTTTCACCAGCCAATTTCTGCTTTTTCACACCTGATCTGGGTTGCCATGAACGCATTTTTGCACATAGATGCTTCAGCTAGGATGTTTCTAAATTGACCTATTTAAAGTATATTGGTTTTTACATGTTATTTCTAGAGCATCATAACTAATAATTAATTATAGCTTTTGTCTCAATATGAGCATGTTGTTTAAACTAACCTTTTAAATTTGGTTTTGTAATAGAAGTGTCGAGTTTAATTCTGTTTCTTTCCACATCTTGCAAATTTTAAAGTCTGAGGCAAGGATGAAGATAAAGCTAGTTAGTTGTAACTTTAAGGACTGAAAGTAAGTCTTTCATCTTTTTAGAGTCAGTCTTTATTAAGAGGTTAAAATCATGAGGATTTTGGGCACAACAGATAGGCGGACACTTCCAATTAGTGGAAGGATTCGGGAGATCCAGCGGATACGAGTCCAAAATGATTGGCAAAAGAAACGGTGATGTGCAGAAACTTTTTTCATGCGACAAGTGATTAACTTCTCTAGTGCATTGCCTGAGAATATGGGAGAGGCAGATTCAATCATAGCTTTCTACAGGAATTGGATCATTATTCATAGGGAGGATTCATGGGGAAAAGGCAGATGTTGGCTCCAGTTAGGGTTGATTTTGCAAAGTTCAGGCAGAGACATGATGGACTGATTGTCTGCCTCCTGTGCTTGTAGCCATTCTATGATTGATTGGTTTAGTAATATATTGTTGTTACAGCAAACTGACAACCTAGAACTTGTGCTGAAATTCTATCATTATAATTTGTGCAATTAAGTACAATAAATTCATTGACTAGAGCCTTTTAGAGTCATTGAGCTGCCTGGGTTGGAGATGCTGCAACATTTGGGGGAAGTGGAACAATAGCTGGGCGGGTTGCTCCAAACTTTGGTCACACTTTGTAGTGAGGTGCAAGCTAGGAACGGTGATAACAATGTGGAGCTGGAGGAACACAGCAGGCCAGACAGCATCAGAGGAGCAGGAAAGCTGACGTTTCGGGTTGGGACCCTTCAGAAATGGTGGAGGGGCGGGGGAAGGGAGCTCAAAAATAAATTGAGGAGGGGTGGGGCTGGGGAAGGTACGTAGGATGGTGATAGGTGAGTGCAGGTGGGGAGTGGTGGGGATTGGTCAGTAAGGTGAGAGGAGCGGATAGGTGGGAGAGAAGCTGGACAGGTTGTGTCAGGTCAAGAAGGTGGGGATGAAGGGAGGGTTGGTCGGTCATGGGATGAGGGTGGGGAGATTTTGAAACTGGTAAAATCCACATTTAGGCCATTGGGCTGTAGGGTCCCAAGGCGGAATATTGAGGTGCTGCTCCTCCACTTTCCGAGTGGCGTCATTGTGACACTAGAAGAGGCCCAGGATGCTGCCCAAATGGAAAAGGAGGAGGAAGGGAAGCGTACTGTGATAATTGTAAGGGATTCAAAAAGTGAGAATGGATCGTATCCTTTTTAAACAGGATTGAGTAACCTATATGGTATGGTTACTATCTGGTACCAGGGTCAAAATCGCTTGAACAGTCTTGAAAGGATATCGGAGGACGGGATTCCAATGACTGGAATCTATGTTAGAACCAACAGCGTAAAAAAAGGGATGCAAAAGGCCCTTTTTGGAGAATACTAGAAATTAGGGCCAAATTAAATAACAATGTCACAATTATTAACTATGTCAAATGCAACTTGGCATAAGGTTAAGCAGGGTAGGAAGGTAAACACATGACTGAAGGAGTACTGAGAGGGCAAAGCGTTCCTCATTTGAGACTTTGTACTCATTTAGCAAGGAACTGTACTTTTGGTCCAGCTGCACCTACACCAGGGTTGGACTAATATCTGAGTGTAAAGGCCAAATAGAGTGGAGACAAGAACTTTAAACCAGTGAATGGGACAGGAGGCTTATATGGAAAAGGGTCTTTTCTAATTATTATACTGCCTGATCTATAGGGAACAGACAGAAACAAAACTGGTGATACGTAGGTACTTTCGTTTGAAACTGAATTATAGCAGCTAACTTTTAACAATTATTTTATTTCACTGTCAATTCACCAGAAGAATTGCTTAAATTATGATAGTGCTGATACTACATAGATTATGAGGAATATATGTGTAAGCATTTGTAGGATATCTAGAAATGTTATTGTTTAAGCAGATTTATCCTGTGTAAAATGGTTGAAGTAGACCCCAACACTTAAAACTCATGCCTGCAAATTGCCTACTTTAATTTTTAAAAACAATTTTGATATTCTTTGTTTACGTGGTAACAGCTTAAATTTCAAGCCATATGTTACTTCCTTAAAGTTGTTCACAACTTGTTCACGCTGTTCTTTGTTCAGGAAGGACAAATCTTAAATGGAAATTGTATAACTATAGTGCAAGGCAATTGAGCTAAGGAGAAGACAATCTGAAAATGTAGCTAGCTAACGTTGAATTACATTTAACTTAATGAATTGTTTAGATTTAAATGAAGTAAACTTGTGAACTGAAAACATAACCGATAATAGATTTAATGTCTAAAATGAAATATTCTATTATTCAACTTAAAGAATGAAAATACGTGATGATTTTAAAAGCTTTCTGTACCTTCTGACAAATGTGCTAACCACACTAAAGTGTTGAAAGGAATTTGTGCAAGATCTAACCTGACACTTCTAAAACTGTCCAGATATGATGGTTTAGTATTGCATTGAGAAAAAGTTTTGCACGATACATGCAGAACTAGAAACCACACTTAACTTGATGTGACCTACATGAGTTTAAAATGATACTGTTAGTTTGAAACAGTTTAGTTTACTTCATAATAGATTCTTGGGTATGGATTGAAAATAAAAATGCTGAAAATACTCCTCAGTCAGGCAGCATCTGTGAAGAGGGAAAGTTAACAGCAGATATTTTTCATTTTTGATGAAAGACTATCATCATTAGAATTTTAATAAGTTTTAAGCAAGCTAAATGGGAAGGGTTGAAAAAGAACAAAGGGAATATCTGTGATAGTAGGAACTGCAGATGCTGGAGAATCCGAGACAACAAGGTGCAGGGCTGGATGAACACAGCAGGCCAAGCAGCATCATAGGAGCAGAGAGGCTGACGTTTCGGGCCTAGACCCTTCATCAGAAAAGGGGGAGGGGAAGGGGGTTTTGAAATAAATAAGGAGAGAGTGGGAGGCGGATAGAAGAGGGATAGAGGAGAGGATAGGTGGAGAGGAAACAAACAGGTCGAAGAGGCGGGGATGGGGCCAGGAAAGGTGAGTGTAGGTAGGGAGTTAGGAAGGGGATAGGTCAGTCCAGGGAGGACGGACAGGTCAAGGGGGCGGGATGAGGTTGGTCGGTAGGAGATGGAGGTGCGGCTTGAGGTGGGAGGAGGGGATAGGTGGGAGGAAGAACAGGTTAGGGAGGCAGGGACGAGCTGGACTGGTTTTGGGATGCGGTGGGGGGAGGGGAGATTTTGAAACTTGTGAAATCCACATTGATACCATTGGGCTGCAGGGTTCCCAAGCGGAATATGAGTTGCTGTTCCTGCAACCTTCGGGTGGCATCGTTGTGGCACTGCAGGAGGCCCAG